GGATGTCCATCTCCAAAAAGAATTCCATCTTCGTCTCAATGCTACACTGCGACTCGTCGTAGAGTCGTACAGTCTACAGAGTCGTCGACTCGTCGTACGAGCGTAGTCACGCGATCACTGAAATAAACTATTTTTTTGCGGGCAAATAAACTATTTTTTTGCGGGCAATATCGCATATTATTGCCCGCGGCGCGAAAGGTGCTGATTCGCTGGAGTACGGGCAACAATCACGTGCCATGTGATAAATGTATATAACCGCCTCATCGGGCAATGAGCATCTGGCCTTGTTTTTCGAATGGCATTTTATGCTCCCTCTCAAAAAGGACCTGATTAGGCTCCGGCGGATTATGCTCGCGAAATCATGGAATTATGCTCGCGAATACACTGGAATTATGCTTTCATGGATTTTCGCATTATGCTCGCAAAATCCTCGTATTATGCTTTGGCACGCGGGGATACATATCCACTTTGTTGTACTTATGAAGCCTCAAAGTTCGAAAAATGTGTACACCTCACAGTTCCTCACTCTATCATATTCACCTGCTTCCACGCCTTCATTTCAATCACCTGTTGTAGTAGCTCACACCATTGGAACACTTTCACATATTTTTTTCTTTCTTTCGTCTTCTCTCCCACTTTATTTTTTTTCACACCTCACCTTGTATACTTCCCACTATACTATAGACGTAAAAGTAGTTTGTTTCTCCGCATAGCTTCTATTGTGAGACGATTCTTTCCTGATAATAGTCTAAAGAAAATCGATTAAGAACATCAATTATTTTAGCATAAATGTATTCTCATTGATCATTTCGTAATGCCCGCTTCGCTTATACTATTTATCGCCTTAGTAATGTTCAACTGTCTTCGTTATCGTCATACTCGTCGAACCGAGGTCGCCCTCACCTAGGCCTTGACAGATTATGCTAATATTTTCGTGAAATTATGCTTTTCGCATTGCTGAAAATATTGCAGAATTATGCTATTTTTATGCTAAAAGTTATCATATTATGCCGCATTATGCTCACATATGCTGCTAATATTATAATGGTTCTGTGCAAAATGACAGGGGATTTTTTTTGTAGGTGGCGTTGTACTGTAATAGCAAAAGTTCAACGGGGTCAACGCACCGTCCGACCTAGCTACGACCGTCACTGATTGTTGTGGACTGGACATGTTCTCAAGGGAGTCGTAAACCTACGACTTCCTGGTGCATCTACTTGTACATGTACTTGTACTTGTAGCACATGTACAAGTGTATGGAATTTGATGCGAACAGGCAGATTATTCCAATTTTATGCGATTCGTATGCAATTTGCCTCGAATTATGCGATTATTCGATTTGGGTAGGAATTATGCGAACAATTATGCTAGCATAATCTGTCAAGGCCTAGTCGGATTTCCGTTGCCAGCTCTGTACTACTAGTACATGAACTGACACTGACAGTGTAGTCAAAGCTGGTCTCGTGCCTGTAGATGTAGATCCACGTACAGTATTAAAAAGCACACTGGTTTCTGTCCATGAGTACCAGAGTAGGCGACTACCGGTACCAGTATCCAATGTAGAAAACGTTTCTCCTTCAAGTGCTATGGTGAGTTTTCTGCTGGCCAACATGGCTTGCCAACTCTCATTGCCAAATGCTCGAAGACTGTTCCTACCTACGCTGGTCGTGGGGCTTGTGCTCACAGCAAGGGCAGGCCATGGCGAAGTGCTGTATAACGGTATGGTCTACTCGGGCGGCGAGTGGTCGTCCCCGGATCAAACACTGTCGAGCCTCAGCAGTGATCAGTCCTTGCACAAGTTGCAGGCAGTCGCGCAGACCGGAGCCACGCACATTCGCCTGCTCGTTACCTGGTATCAGGATTACGTGAACTCGACGCAGATCTACCCGATCAACGGCTCATCGCCGCTCCGCACCGTGACCGACGATGACCTCACGCATGCCATCAACACATCCCATTCATTGGGCCTCAAGGTGGCAATGCAATGGCCCCCATCCTGGACCCCAACTGGGACCTGCCCACAAACCTGCGAAGCTTTCCCGGATACAAGGGTGCGGAGTGCATCCTGAAAGGCAGCAAGACCTGCCCTGGCTGGTCCACGAGCCGCCTGGTGATCGGCTGTGCCCAGAACTCGCCGCCGCTGTCGATGAAGTGCGCCCGGTTCAACGACAACCAGTGGGCGGCATGGTTTGCTAGCTACGGCGCATTCATACTTCACTACGCCAAGTTGGCGGAGAGCCAAGGCGTGGATCTGTTCATGGTCGGAAGTGAGTTGGACATTTCGTTCGAGCAGGGTGACCATTGGGAAGACCTTGTCAAAGCCGTGCGAGCCGTGTTCTCTGGTAAGTTGACTGTGGCCGTCAACATAGGCACAGGCATGAACATGACCTGGTGGGACAAAGTCGACTATCTGGGCTGCGAAGGTTACGATCCTCTGCACCCGGACAACGAAACATTGGAAGGATTCGTCGCCGCATGGGAGCCGCTGATAGCGAAGCGTGCGGCACTAGTCAAGAAATGGAACATGTCCCTGATGTTTACCGAACACGGATACCAGTCACGTCCGCACTGCTGGAAGAGGCCGTACGCCACTGTTCGGCCGAACTCGGAGGACTGCTCCGTCTGGCCCCTGTGTTACGACATGCAGTGTCAGGCCACGCTCTACGAAGCATTTTTCACCGTCACGAGCAAGCTTCCCTGGTATGTAGGTAGCTTCTGGTGGCTGTGGCGCTCGGATGCCACCGCCGGCGGAACCAGCGATAATTCGTTCACGCCCCGTGGCAAACCAGCTGAGCAGGTGCTGAAGAAATGGTTCGCCAACGCAACCAATCGACGCACAAACAATGATGAAAGCACAGGAAAAACAATTCGTGCGAAAAATGCTGAAAGTAGTGCGCGCCATGCTGCCAACTCCACAACATCGTATCAGCACAGTATGATTTTCGCGGCTGGGCAGTGGTCGTACCACGGTGTCCGGCTGGACTCTTCAGAGGCCTTCAACTCCATACAGCAATGCTCCCTGACAACAGGCGTGAACATGCTACAGTATGTGCCCACACACTACTACAACAATGCTAGCAGTACGGATTTCTACAGCAAAGGTGATGACTCTCCTTTACGAACCACCACAGCAGCAGAGCTCAGCAACACCATACAGTTTGCAGCATCCCTGGCTTTAGACGCTACCATCGCTGTGGTCCTGGAGCCAGATTACGATCTCGGGACAAATTTCGACTCCACCGGTGCCTTCAATGGCACACCGCATCAGCATCTCGGCGAAAATTTCACAAGTGCCGAGTTACAGGAGTGGTTCATGAATTATAAAGCCTTGGTGGTGGAGTTTGCGACACTGGCGGAGAAAAACCATGTGCAATCTCTGCTGCTGGGCCATGAGCTGAATGCTATTGTATCGCACAACGCCAGCGCACCCCTGTGGAGCGACTTGATCACAGCCGCGCGCAAGGTCTACTCGGGTCTTGTATCGGTCACTCTGGACGGCTCTGGGATCATGGAGGATGTAGCAGCTAATCGTGTGCCATGGCTGAAAGAGCTGGACTTCATCGGCCTGTCATGCTATTGGCAAGTACCGGGGACTGGCGGCCTCCTACCCGTTAACCATTGGCTGCTCCCAGCCATTGAAAACCTTACTGCTGCGTACATCGTGACGGTGGATGAACTGCAGCGGCTCTCTGCGAGTCACGGCAACATGAGCATTGTCTGCACAGACGTGGGCTACCAGTCGCGGCCGTACGCCTGGAATCATCGCCTGTCCGGCACACAGCTTGACGGATCCGACTGCAGCGTCTGGGACCAGTGCATGTCGCACGAAGGCCAGGCGCTGGCCTACTCTGCGTTCCTGCAGGCGGTCAAGGGCAGGCCATGGTTCGGTGGTGCTCACTGGTGGCTGTGGAGATCCGACGTGTCAGCCGGTGGGCACTCTGATGATTCCTACACCCCTGCGCAGAAACCCGCCGCCGATGTACTTCGAGAGTTTGCGCCACCGCGCCAGTAGCACATGTGGCTAATAATCATCGCATTACTCCTAGCAATCATGTGGACTCTTTACTGCACATCTTGTATGTTTTAAAGACAGAGCTCCACAGGGCTAGACTTTGAAAGTTGATGATTCCCTTTTTACAGTTTTCATTGAAAGATGTTATTTTGTGTCACATTTACCGGAGTATATTCACTGCTAAGGAGCAATACAACAGCAAGTACTCTTACACAATGTTAACCCATTGAACGCTGATGACGTCTATAGACGTCATTGAAAATGCCCCCCTTGCGCTGATGACGTCGGACGTTATGGGATATTATAGTGATTTCTGGCACTGTCTGGTATGTAAAAGCACTGTTGGTCAGTTGTACCATGATCCTTGCTCTTCCAGCACTCTGAAAGAATAGTGCCCAGACAGTGGTGTCACAGTGACGAAACGTGCAAGAGCGATAACCTTCGCTCTAATATAATGTGGTGATCTTAGAGCGAAGGTTTCATTCGCCTAGCTCAAAGTGATGGTACTACCGTAGTACAGCTGAATTCAAGAAAACAACGTGTACTCAGCATTCATGCAGGTTTGCCCGAGTGTTCTGCTCCGCGTTCTTCTCCTGTGCTTCAGACAGAAATCAAGTTTTACTGTCAGTCATTCATCTGGAAGTCCTAATTGCTACGCCAATGGACTTTTAAAAGGATCCCAATTGTTTAGCTCATCATACACAGTAAAAGTAACGTTAGTTAGTGTAGGTCGGCCGAGTAATAGTTCATTGACAGGCGTCCATTTGCCAAGTGGCTTTCCCCTTCAATGCTTCATGCCATCAGTGAAAATTTAATGCACTAAAATACCGGTATTACAAACTTCGAACTTGACGTCATGACGTGTAGTCATGTAGGCCGTGGCCGCCTGCTCGGTTCACGTGAACTCACAGAGCCTACGCGACCCCAAAATCCGGTCGAGTGCATGCAGTAGCTTCGCTGCAGCCTGCAGGACTCTACTACTTCTGGAGTACTGGAGGCTGGGCACTGGTTGGTGTGGGGAGCGGAGGAGAGTCATTCAACGCAGTTTGCACAGCTCTAACGTTAGTTCACCTCCCTTCGCCTCATCAAAGCTTCTACGACTTCAATTACTATAATAATTACAATTATTTTCAGTCCTTTGGAGTGGCGAAGTGTCGGGGAGCGAGCATTCCAGCCCAGTGTTTGCATGTAATCTGCGATCTGCTTAGCATAGTAACGGTCGGTTAGATTTCAAGTGACTACGCGGAGCTGGTATCGGAACTGATTCAAGTGTTCGAGAGATGGCTTCTCTACTTCGAGCGCTACTTGTCGTTTGGGTACTGGAAGGTAAGCGGTCGACGGTTGTGTACACTTTGTAGAATTTCGTGGTCGTCTAGTTGCAAAGAAAATTGTATGCATTGAGATGAAAGTACATAAATTTCGCATGGTTACGATAATTTTTGTTTGGGTTCAAGTCTCCTGGTATGGAATAATTTACTCGGCGTTACGATCAATGCAAGGGTTAGGGACGTGGAAGTGACCACCGATGAATGCATAGTCCAGTGGCTTTAGAATGCTCAGTCACTCAACACGACAGATCACACGCATGGGGCTGTGTTTCCTAAAACAAGAAATTCAAACAAACAAAACAAAAACAAACATGAACTTGACAGGCAACAAACACGACTGTTCAACCTAAGTCATTTCCAAACGGGAAAGTCATCAACTGAGATGTATTTATGAAAGGTTGCCCGAGGATCGTAGTAATACGTCGAATTCGGAGTTGCAACACTGATTCCCCTCTCCCTTTCGCGTTTATGAAAGGTTATGCGATCACATCACTGAGTCCAATACCAACTGCGAGTCTTGAACGTTTTCACGGAAAGTAATGAAAAGTGGAATGTGTTCTTGCGCCTGCAGGCCTTCTCAGCCAGGGCAATGCTGACGAGGAGATTGTTGAGAAGCCTCAGCAAGACAACCTAGCAGGTGAGTTACTAACGCGCCGGTCAAGGTAGCTTGAAGCAAAGTGCTCAATGTAGAAATATGCAGAGCAGTGTACACATACCACGGAGATGAAAGGCTGTGTAATTGCATGTAATATAGCAATTAGGAGGACGAGCTGAAGTGACATTTGGATTACTATATTTAATATGAAATCGTGACTTCAGCACACGATTTCATTGATAAAGTAATCCAAATGTCACTTCAGCTCGTCCTCCTTATTGCCATAATTGTTGTCTCCTCGTCGAATATTTAATTACATGTACGTAGCCTTTGTTACAACTTATATGTGTAAACAAAATGTCACGGTTTGCGTGAGACTCGGCCGAAGACGAGTTTTCCGCATCTGTAGGAATGCCATCACCCTTCAAGGATGAAGGCGCAGATACAGATGTTGTATGTGTGGAAAGTATGTTTTTTTTCTGCCCCTGGACCTTCTGGCTGGTAGTGACTATCGGGAGTTCCCTCTGGAACAGGGACGATAATTTTATTTACATGACAACCCCCCACACTGGATTTGTCGCAAGTCGTCAGCCGTGCTAAACAACCCTTGCTCCAGAAGACCACCTGTGTTTGGACACCATGATACGTTGTAACTATTGAATTCACCGTAAAGCACCGTAGATCCGCCCCGTCTCTAATTCCCGGCCGAATTTGTATCTGTGATGCAGCTTTAGCTGTATCAATATGTCAAAGTGCGATGTTGAACCGATGCATGCATGCACTGTTGTACGCAAACCATGCCAGTGCTGTATGTCTGCGCATGATACTGTACGCAGTACTGCACGACAAGACTGATCGTCCGTATACAGTGCTGGCAACTGAAATCCGACCCCCTGGGTGGCGCGGGGGGGTCGGATATCAGTTGCCAGCAGTGTATATGGACATCATACTGAACATGGCAGCCCTGATCTAACCGCCTGCCCCTATACTCTCCTGGAAGCCCAGCCTCAAAACAACACCGAGGGGTGGGGTGGATCAACGCTATTTAAGGTACTCTAAATCTTCCGATGAACAACAAGGAGTCGTAAACTTATTACTTTCAAATGGCTGGACAACCGGTGAATGTGTCGGTGGCGTAAATTTTGACCGTTCATATAATGTACACAGAAATAGAGTAACTGAAGATGATCATAGCCAGCAATCGCATGTCATCACGTACATTCAAAATCAACATAATTTTTCGAATCGACCTTTTTTTCAGGATCACTTTTCAACGAGGACGAAGCAAAGCCGGCCGAACGAAGCCTAGAGGAAGAAAATCACCCTCTCCACTTCACCATCACGATACTGACATAGATACGAGATGAAACAACTAAAAAATCCACAAGAAAACAGTACGGCCATCATCGCGCTGACTTTGGTCTGACTTTGGTCTGAGAATTTCTATCACGATCAAAAATGTACGAGGAGCACTCAAAAATAAGCCACAGACGTACCTTTATCGCTCTCTACTCCTTTTTCAAGGCACAAAAGTCGACTCTCCACTTCCAAACCAGGAACCAGACATATCAGTGGTCCTTTTCAGCTGCTCCACGAGCGCAGGAAATGTTCACCAAGGGGCGCAGAGCAGCATCCATTCCAGAAAAGAGCTAAAATACGAGTGAGACTGCATGACTGAGTACATGAGTACATGTATGAGTACATGCAGAAAATAGTCAATTTCAGCGTTTCTGCTCCAAACAGCAACTAGCTTCGACTAGAAACAAAGATTACACCAAAGAATCAAACAACAACCATTTTCTGCAGTTTTTTTGTGGATGGCTTCCTTGTGCTTGGCCCAGCACGCCAAAAATCACACCTCGGAGGAGTACAAAAATTACAACTCTCAGATGTCCTCGATTGCTGGCCATGATACCCATTGACCATAGTTGTAGTGGTCTTCTTGGGTAGGTTGTCACCTGATCAGAGAGGTCGTCTTGCCAGGTTTGACCGTAGTTTACTGCTGTCTGGTTGTGTGTACATCAGGTGTAGTGTTCATAGCTAGCTGAGTGTGCCTCATTGCTTTCTTGTTCTATGTACCAGATGTACTGTTAGTAGGCGTGTGTCGTTCATTGCTTCCGGGTTGTACGTGTCAGATATCTGTTCAAAGTTGCTGTAGTTCGCTGCTTTCTGGTTACGTGTGACGAATGTACTCTACCTTGGTGCTTGTAGCTCATTGCTTTCTGGTTGTGTTGCCAGATGTACTATTCCTAGTTGAATATATTTTACTGTTTTCTGGTTATGTGTCTCAGATGTTTGTGATTTGCTTTCAAGCAATGTGCATAATCAGTAAATTGGTGTTACTGTTTTTGTTTTGTTTTTTTTGGTTTCCCGTTCTCGGGGCCTTCTATTCGGTACTCTTTGTAGTTGTACTTCTGTACTGTTGAGCTATCTGACTTCAAATAAACATTAAAAAGATAAAAAAAGGTGTATGTAGTTCACTGATTTCTTGTTCTGTGTGTCATATGTACTGTTCCAAGTCGATGCACATGGAGTTTACTGCTTTCTTCTGCTGTGCTTGTCAGATGTACTGTTCGTAGGTGGCTACGCCGAACACAAGGACTTTGCAGTGTACGCGGACGGCAAGCGGCAGCAGTACATGACGACGGACACCATGTTTGAGGCGGGCGACAGCAACAGCTTGCGACTGGAGGTGCGCAGCTCTCACCTGATAGCCATCGTCATGACTCCACCACAGTTCCGCAGCGGCGAGCGGCCACCATTGGGCATCATAGCGTCGCTGGAGCAGCACACGAGAACACAGGAATTTGCGACGACCGATGCCACATGGAGATGCAGGTAAAACATACACACAATTTCAATCCTACTACAGATATTCGTTAGTTCAGTAAGTTTAAAAGGGAAAGTCTTAATTATGACTGTCACTACCAGGAATTAGACCAGAGAACTACGCTTGATGCCAGCGATGCTCTACCACTGAGCTATGGTGTAGTTGTCATCCCAGGAGAGACTGTTCAACGTCTTCTTCAGACTCCTATCTTCAAATGTTCAATTTTGCCCATGCAGAGGGCTGTTTTGACAGGTCTTGTATAATGCGTGTGCGTGTGTGTGTGTGTGTGTGTGTGTGTGTGTGTGTGTGTATGTGTGTGTGTGCATGTGTTTATGTTTGTGTGCGGCTGTGTGTTGTGTATGCTCATCTGTGTACGCATTGTAATACACTTGGACAGGCATGGCAGCGGTGCAATGCGCCGACTGAAGGAAAAAAGCACGGGTCGCAAGTGGTTTCACCCGCAGTACGACGACTCTCACTGGCCTACGGCCACTGTTTTAGGAAACCATGGCCAGAAGCCTTGGGACGTAAGCTTGAAGTTTGTATTGTGTGTGTTTGTGTCACCGTGTTCATGGGTGTGTGTGGGGCAGGGGGGGGGGGGGGGGGGGGGGGGGGTTGTGCGGGTGCTTGCGTGTGGGTATGAGTGCATGTGCGTGGTTGCGTGTATGTGTGTGTGTGTGTACGTGTGTGGGTGTGGTTGTCTGTGTATGTGTGTGTGTGTGTGTGTGTGTGTGTGTGTGTGTGTGTGTGTGCGTGTATACGCATGTGCATGTGAGACTGTGTGTGCGCATACACTTGTGCACGGTTGGGTTAGCACGACCATTAAAAGCTTGATTTACCGGACCCTGCGTAAAGCGGAATCCTGTTCAGACCTGACGATTTTCATGCACGGATAGTCTGCCATATAGAACTCACCGCAACAAGGGAAATGCTGTCGAACGAGGAAAGCGGAGCTTATTTCATGACCCAAGTTCCTTTTTCACCTATCACAACAGAAGTCCGTACTGTACAGTATGAACTGTCGCCGTCATGGAAGCTCTTTTCAGGTCTCGGTACGATCCTAGTTCCCAGCACGGACTGCATACGTGTACACACATACGCAAAAGAGTTGCGTGTGTGCGTGCGTGTGTGTACATGTGTCTGCGCGCGCGCGCGTGTGTGTGTGTGTGTGTGTGTGTGTGTGTGTGTGTGTGCGTGTGTGTGTACATGTGTTTGTGTGTTTGTGTGTGTGCGTGTGCGTGTGCATGTGTGTCTGTGTCTGTGTGTGCGTGCATTTGTGTGTGTGTATACACGTGCGTTCATGGCTTCTGCTGTAGCATCGCTATCATCGCCTCTGGCGATGGGCGTCCAATGGTCCAATGGAACCCTACTGAAATGTTCGCGTTACATTACCCAACCAATATTTTTACAATCTTTGTATTTTCGTAGAGCCCTGTCTCCTATGCAATTATTTGTGTCTTCTTTTTCTTTACTCCGCCCTTGTCCAGGTATTGATGGACATCAGCAGTTCAGCCAAGTGGATCTGGGCCAACACAACCCAGCCTAGTCACACAGTTCTGTGCAGAGGCTGGGTATCACATGACCCAGGTAAGACATCATACTGAACGGCTGAATCTGAACTGCGATGCGAAAGATAGGACAAGGCATTGGTCGTGCTTAAAATCGGGCCGGCCGGGATTGGCTCCGACACCCCCGTGCTCTAGTGTCTCTCGCAGATCTGCGTGACAAATTACGTGCTGTATCGCGAGTGCAGAACGGGAACATGGTGCGCTCAATTACGTCAACATACCAAAGAATGTGTCTTTTGCAAGGGTATTGGGCTCTCTATGAGTCCCTGGCCAGAGTGTACTCCACCTACCGAGAGTATACTGCATAAGCCTATGATGGGATAATGTTCGACCCGATTCGTAGGATGAGATTCTTCATGTTTCATTTACTGCTCATCTCTGGCTTACCCGCTAACCATTGTGAACCTCGCACCCGCACACAGCCATCGCGCAGCTTTGCGTAAGCTGCAGGCAACGCGTTGTCGGCACTCTGGTTGCCCATTGTGCAGCGAAAAGCTCCAGCGTCTGGTATTTTCTCTCCGCAATGTTCTCCACAGGGTCTTGACTCAAGGTTCATGCGAACAGACCTATCTCACACACAAGGCACCTAGTTGCGACAAAGATTCATGAAGCTCTGTGTGCACTGGTTTTAGGGAAAGACGCAAACGGGAAAAGCTGCGTCCTGTCTGTGTGTATGTGTGTGTGTTTTTTTTTACAAAGAACACAAACCCTGTCGAGAATTGATAGAACAAACAACTATTGAGTCGGGGCTGACTACTAGTATCCATTAGTGCAGCTGTGTAGGTGGGGCGTTGTGGACTCCTCCGACCAAAGGTCTCGGTATGCTTGCACACAACGCTCACCAGGTGTTGATATATGGGCCGCGATCAGCTAAAACATGTCTTTGGGGTTTCGTAAAAAAGTTGGGAATTGACGAAATGAAAAAAATGTTTTTTTGGAGCGCGTTCACTCTGCACTTCATTCAAATGATTCATGATGTGGCGATCATCTTCTCAAATTTTGTTCAAACACTTGTTTGGCGTTCTACTTCAAGTAGCTGGCGAGCAAAGACTCACAATGTCCGCATCTAGTGATACTAGAGCAGCTCGCAGGGCCAGACAATCGCTGTGCATGGCCCAGGTTTGTTCCGGTGTCTGCAAGTCCGCGGCGGCGGGTCTGCAGAGCGACGCTGACAATTTGTTGGGATCTCATTGATGTTGATGTCGACAGCGAAGCTGAATCGTCCCCGTCGTCTCCAGTAGCGAAGAGGCACAAGTTATGGGCTAGTACATAATCATTTTTTCCGGCGAACAGGCTGCCTTACGACGTTACTTGCGTTCAGCTCTCATGAGGCGTCTGACGCAGTCTCGGAAACGCAGGCGATGATCGAAAGTGTCACTGCCAGAATCGAAAGAGTATGCAAGTGCAACGCCGCCCAGTGCATCGTGTTGCTTTCCAGGAAGAACTTGGGCCATGCCTTTGAACTGATGTCGTTGACATGCTCAAGTCGGTGTCAACATCTTTAGTTTCGTTGTATTGTGCTCCGCCACAAAAGCCACTAAGTAATAGTTTGTCTCTTTGTGTCAGACTGTGAGAAAACTGTCAATTTCTATTTCAAAGTACATATTTTGAAAGCGGAGTTTGGGGCACTTGTAGACTACTTTTCTGCCCTGTATCACCTTCAAGAGGTCAAGTAAGGTCCCAAGAACTGTTTTCTGGAGGAAAACAAAATTTGAAATTTTTCACCCTAAGTTTTAGCTGGTTGTGGCCCATAATTATAATGGGTACACATTTTGCTGATGTGCACAGTCTCGCATTGTGTTGGTTTGACCTTTTCCTTGGGTTTCCAGATGTTCTCTCCATATCAGTCGACTCGCATTTCACGGCTTATGGTGACGGCCGTCTCCTTGGAAACGGTTCTGATTGGGAGCAAACGTATAGGTTTGCTATGCCTGGCAGGTCCAACCATCTCCTAGCTGTCCATGCATGGCAAGACGGTGAGGCGAGCGGAGCGGGTTCCAGCAGATCTCCGGGAATACTGGCTTCGTTGCAGGTAATGTGGGAAGAGTGCATGACCCCCAAGAGCGTGCGACTGCGCTGTGAGTGCTGCCCCGACGGAATATCACGACTTCAAGTTGAGGAAGGGGGGGGGGGGGTGGTCCTAAAGATGGGAAACTCGGTCTCTAGCCGAGTCTTATGCGAGCTGTGAAATGTTGTTATTTATTCTCTATTCATACGATTTCTTTGAGCATGGTTGTAGTGTGTTGGCCTACTGTTGGCCTACTGTTGGCCTACTGTTGGCCTACTGTTGGCCTACTGTTGGCCTACTGTTGGCCTACTGTTGGCCTACTGTTGGCCTACTGTTGGCCTACTGTTGGCATACTGTTGGCATACTGTTGGCCTACTGTTGGCCTACTGTTGGCCTACTGTTGGCCTACTGTTGGCCTACTGTTGGCCTACTGTTGGCCTACTGTTGGCCTACTGTTGGCCTACTGTTGGCCTACTGTTGGCCTACTGTTGGCCTACTGTTGGCCTACTGTTGGCCCTTCTACTAGTATATTATAAAAACGAGCCATCACAAAACCTCTCTTTTGTTTCTCCTTCTTGTGCTGCAGACACCATTTCCACCTGGCGGTGTGTCCAATCAGATGTGGAAGTGCCGTCGCAGTCTCCAGGACGGAGAGGAGAAGGATTGGATGAGGGAGTCGTTTGATGACTCCCGGTGGAAAGCGGCCAGCGTCGTAGAAGGCCACTATACGGACCAATCAGAGAAAGGTGGGACGTGCATGTGCACTCAAGTTTCTCATCTTCCACTTAGTGCGAAAATGGCTCAGAGCTCCCTAGAAAATATTGTTCATAGTTTTCACTTTGATCTCCATACAGTGAAGCCTGTCTATGGTGACCTATCAAGGCACCGTCAAATGTGGTCTCTGTGTACAGGTGGTGTCTTTATCCTTGGATATTTGACTCGAACTAATGTCTCTTGGTTTGATTCATAGTGGTCTTCTTACGCAGCTGATTGCTTTATCAGAGTGGTCTCATTGACAGGTTTTACTGAATTGCATTCCTCGATGTTACGCTAGAAATGACCGAGTGTCAGATCGATCAAAGTCTTGCAACGTTTCAATCATATCATTTTATGATTGAAAGCTGCACATGCCGTCCACAATAGGTTGAAAAAATATCCCAGGGCCATTCTCCGGTACCCCCCCCCCCCCATATTCTGTGTAACACAACAAATCTTGAGTAACTCCCAACGTCTCTGGCTTGTGGTTCCTGGCACTCCACATGTATTTCCCCATACTTTGCTGCCATTTTCTGCTCGGGTGTCTTGCCTATAGGTCAGAAGTGTACGTATACACTGTAACGTCTCTCCTTTTGCTGTTTGATTCCTGGTAATGCAGACTTTTGTATCGATCTACAATAAAACCTGTGGCTAACGACCACCCCTTGGGGCCAGAGAAAGCAGTCTTTAGTGGCAGGTGGTCCTTAGTTAGAGGTTTGCACTGCACAACCACATATGAATGTGAGACCGTCCTTTCCTGGCGAAGTGGTCTGTAGCGCCAGGCTGGGCGCTAGTCAGGGTGGTCTTTAGTTACAGGTTCTACCGTACATCTATAACAAGGTGTATTTCACAAACGGAGTTGTCTTCTCTTTTTCTGTTTTATTGCTGGCTATGCAGGAGTTCGCATCGACATCAGTCAGCATGCTAACTGGGTTTGGGCGGCCGGCAAACGGCACTCGGAATCGGAGCGCGACGAAGTCTTTTGCCGGGCAACAAAGATGTCGTCCACCATGCGTGAGTACAATACTAAACTGCAACGTTTTGATTTCATATTCTCAGCACATGCATATGTATTTAAGTAGGATGACATGAGGACATGTTTGTGCAAATTGTTCAAATTCACCTTTTTTGGTAGACTTGCTTGAGCATAGTCGTATGTTTGTTTGTGTGTGTTTTGCGGGTGCCTCTGTGTGTGTGTGTTTTGCCTACAAAATTCACATTATCTCCAGACACTGGGGTGAATAATGGATTGTGGTGGTGGGGCACATTAACCCTTTCAGTGCCAAGGACGAGATAACTCGCCCTACAGAGCCCCACGCGATTGGCCAAGGACGAGATATCTCGTCCTTGTAGTGCGCACTACTACAGTAATGGCAACTGAAATCCGACCACCCCAGCGGTGCGCTAGCCGCGTTAGCGATTCGTACGAGACGCTAGGGGGGTCGGATTTCAGTTGCCGGCGCTGTACATCTCACTGGCCATGCACTACGATCTAGCTTGGCCGATTGTGGCTCTTCGAGGGGAAACTAGAGGTTTTCCCCTACTGAATAAGACCTCACTCACCGTGTTTGAGTAAGTATGGGCGCGGGGGCGTACATTCACAGCGCAAGCGCGAAGAACATATTTCGATTGAGAAACAATTAGAGCGACGGAACGTACTTTAGGTCTCTCTAGCTGTCACTCAGAAACGGCGAGCGCCGCATGTCGACTGAAGAGGTCCTCCAGTCCATGATGGACTCGGACAGTGATGACTGGAGCTGCGATAGTGAAGGCGGTGACTCGGATGCGGACATAGCCGTCCGCGATCGTGAAAAAATCAGATTTTTCATGAAAATGGCACGGCCAACCGCGTGCATCTGGCCTGTCACTGAAAGGGTTAAGCTCAGCCGACCAGGGGTCTCGGCTTCATAACTTACCTAGTGTGTGTGTGTGTGTGTGTGTGTGTGTGTGTGGTGTGTATGTCTGTCTGCGTGTGTGTGGTGTGCGTGTCAGCTAGTTCGGTTGGTTGGTGCACTTATGCCAGGTAGTGTTGAGTCTGTTGCCAACGGGTTCGGCTGCTTCAAGGTGTAATGTTGTACCTGCCACTATTATTGGTTTCAGGGTTCATACTTTCAATTTGAAGTATACAGTTCTGTTAACCATGGACGACTTCTGGCTATAGTAACTCTTGGGTAATCAATGGTGATAGTGAAGCTTATATATATTTATATTATATACTCTGGTTTAGCCACCCAAACTAGTATCAAATATTACCTTCACCAGGGGCGGGGGTAAGTGCATACTGGATACCCTGCTGCTATGAATCCTCTTTCTGCACCTTGTCCTCACCGACTTACCAGCGCATTTACACCTCTGCGTGCTTCTCTTGCGACAGGAGAATACACGGTACATGGCTTGTATGTGTGTGTGCATGTGCATGAATGTGTATATGTCTATGTGTGTGGATTCGTGTGTTTGTGTGTGTGTCGGGGGGGGGGGGGGGTATACATATTTGCATGCTTGCTTGCATTCCTTCGTGCGTGAATATGTTTGCGATTGCACATGTGTGCATGTGCGTGTTTTATGTGCACGTTTGTGTTGTCTTTCCCCTACACCAGATGCCATGAAGAGTCAGTCCCGTGGCAAACTCTCCGTTGTTGACAGCAGCGCGAGTAAGAGAACGGAAGGCAAGCTGCAGATGAAGTATCTACATCCGCGGAAGCACTGTAAGATCTCGGGGGGGGGGGGGGGGGGGGGTTGGAATGAACTGAGCCGGCTATCAATCTACTACAGAAATCGGACAGTTGTATGATGCTGTCCGATGAGTGTTTCTGAACACGGAACTCTGAGTAACGGCAGAAAAGGGCTTGGTTGTGTCGTTGTTGTGTGAGTGATGCTATGACGGCATTATTTATTTATTCCGCCATTATGGTCATTTTTGAACAATCTTCACTTCTTCATCATTTCTAGGAACTGGCCCGTGGCCGGTGAGAAGGCATCCTTGCCTGTAAATCTCATGAAGTAAAATAAAACAACAACAACAACAACAACTTTCGTTACTGATTGCGCTCCTAAATTTCCAAACGATGGCACCGTGGCTGCATCCACGATACCACTGGCTAGAAATTTAGGAACACAATGTAAACTCGCTTTCTCCAAGAAGAATGAATCTCTATTCAGTTATAGGGCACTGCAGGAGCGGAAAAGGCTCGCAAGGCAATTTCTGTGATCCTACCCACAGACCACGGATGTTCCAGCCCTGTAAAAATGCCCCCCCCTCCATTCTTGTTCACAAGAGCGTAGGTGGAAATTTGTGCATGGTGAACTCTCCCGCAGAGCATATAGCAGCGAAGCACAGAGCGTTTATTTATCTGCTTTTCAACTCGGGATGGCCGCCTTAAAGACGAAGTTGATTACGAAAGAAACTCTAAGCAGCATGACTGTCGAAGAGAACTATGCTGGTCGTATTCCTCTTTGATACAGCAACAATGATATTTTCTGTGGCTCATCATGATCGTCTGTTGTTGCAGTTGAAAAAGTTCAGGAAGTGGATATATCTCGGCTGGATCCGACTGCGTTCTTCCGCGACTTCCTTTCCCAGGGTCGTCCGTTTGTTGTGCGGGTAAGTTGGATTGGCATCACTGTCGTGTTCGTGTTACTGTACAGAGCACATGTGAACGGAACACGGCATGGAGCACTTTTCCAGCACCCTTTGATAGTTGGGAAGTTGCAGTCACATACTGACAAAACTCCAAAGTGTTCACGACAAGGATTTGTAAAAGTACAACCCTCCGGAAGCAGCATGCTCGGTATGTGTTCATGCATTCGAATGCGAATCCCAGAGCATGACATAAGCTGCGTACACAATAATACCACAGCTGTGTCTGAACATTACACACTCTGTGTTTTGCGCAAGCCAATGACGCTGTTGGTTCTGCTCCGTTATCCTTTACGTAAAGCGTATTGTCCGAAGTAAAAGCCGCACTAGAGTATAAGCCGCACCTCCCCCCCCCCCCTCCTTTGTCACGAAATACAAACCTCTGTGAATTTGATCATCAGACTATAAGCCGGACACCCCGTTTCGTTGGTGAAGTTTTCAAATTTCGGCTTATACTCCGGATAATGCAGTAAGTTACTCCTCCTCAATGCACAGTCTGCCATGCATTGGGTCGTGCAACATACTCGGCATAACAATAATATTTCCCAGTAGGTGATGTTCTCTACTTGACTGGTCATGCTTTCTCGTTCAGGGTGGTATAAAGTCGTGGCCGGCATACGAGAAGTGGACTGACGAGTATCTGATGTCCAAGGTTGGTAATGACCAGACTATGGTAACACACGCTCCAGACAACATCTTCTACTTCTACGGAAAGAAGCACGACATGACCGAATCGACCGTCGGAGATTTCTTGTCGGTAAGTACATTTGCATTTGCTCAGTTGCATCTAACAGACCTGACAGAACCCGTCCGGTCAACCAACCCGTCCAGTCGGTTGCCTAGGCCATGGCCGGACCAATTGTTTGGCCACCAACATGTGTTACTGCTGAGGAGGTCATGTGTATACCCGCCGTATCATACACAAAGTATAAAAGACTAGGGTATGGCCGGACCAATCAGAAACTGTTTCCGTGGGTACTGCATCAGGTCAGTGTTAGCCTTTAGCCTTTCAGGCGTGACGCTAAAGAAACTCTGGATGTGAATGTGAGTACTCGAGATGTTTTATAGCCGGTCATGTTAGTTTACATCAGGATCTAAAACTGACTATCCGGTCAGGCCCCCTCAGGATCCCTTTGGCTGTGATGCACTTGTGCAGACGCAGTTGCACCGGGAAAGAGCGGTTTTCACTTCGCTGAACTTCCCCATCACATAAAGCTGGATATGCCTACAGTTGGTGTCACGGGCAGCCCTCGCTTACCCGGTCCTCTTTTATCCGGATCCCTCGCCACCCGGAAGAAAATAGCTGGTTACGGATTTACAGCATACGTGATGCATTCAACATAACCGGAGTTCGGTTATCCGGTTCCCTCGCCTATCCGGATAATTTTTGTGGAAGACGGATGTGTGCGGTTGAGCGAGGTCTGACTGTGCTCAGCTTAGGATTTGTGAGGGAATCTGAGTGCCACAAAGTACAAACATCCTATCAGAGTTGTTTACTGTCTGTTGCACTAGTTCCAAGCTCTTAGTCGGGACTACAGTTTCTGGGCTGGCTGTTTTTTCTTCTTTTTTTTTCTTTCTACAAAATCCACATATCCCCAGACGCCGAGGTGAATGATGGAGTGCGGTGGTGGAGCCCATTAGTCTCAGCCGACCAGAGGTCTCGGCTTCATAGCTCCATGGGCGTCCAGTTAATGTCAGACTCGACCCTGTGGGTGCACCACTGTGCAGTATATGTCGCAAACCTGAAGAGTCTTAATACATGCCAGGCCACACTAGTCACAGAGTACCACGAGTTTGGTTTGTTGTAACTATACGCTTCATCCCAGATGGCAATCTTCAGGCAACTGTGTGAGTGATACTGCTCTGCTCCTGCATTGAGCACTCTATCGAACCGGACAACTCTGCTGTCTAATACCTGCGAGGTGATATGATCACCAGTAGCTGTACTTGAAATGTTGTCGTTCTGTTTTTCTTCTTTCTGCCATGGTCATTATCACAGACATATCGTGATCCGAACAGGAAGAAGAACTTGTACCTTGCACAGCATCCACTGCAGTCAGAGGATGGTACCAAGTCCAAAATCCGGGATGATGTCAAACAACCACCGTTCACCAAGTTCTTGGTATGTTTGTGAGTGTGTTGGTGTGTGTGTGTGTGTGTGTGTGTGTGTGTGTGTGTGTGTGTGTGTGTCCCATATGGTGCAGTGGTATGTGCAGCGATTTCCAATCGATAGGTTGCGGGTTCGATTCCCGACGATTATGGTCACACACGTCTTTCTTCTCTTTCTCAGACTCTTCCTGACTTTTCTTTCATTCTCCTGGGTGGTTACCAACAGCCAGTGCATGCCGGAGTATGTGGTGTGATGTGTGTGTGGGAAAAAAAAGAAAGAAAGAAAAAAAAGAAAAAGACCAAAAATAGGGATTCACTGGCCAGAAAAAGTCACTTCAAAATAGCTGTATGGTGTAGACCAGGCTGAATAGTGACGGTCAATTCTTCAGCCTTGCAAGCTGTTGAATGGTGCAATCCCAGCACAAGTTGCTATGGCTTCTGCCGTAGCATTGCTATCATCGCCTCCGGCGATGGGCGTCAAAGGTCAAGGTCAAAGGTGTGTGTGTCTGTCTGTCTGTGTGTATGTTCGTGTGTGTGTATGGGGGGGGGGGGGGAGGGGGGAGAGGTATGTGTGTGTATGTGTGCATGTGTGTGTATTGTGTTCATGTGTATGTGTGTGTGTGGATGTGTGTGTGTGTGTGTGGGGGGGGGGGGGGGGGGGGGCTTACTCAAGTGTGTGGATGCGTGTGCATGTGTATGTGTGTGTGTGTGTGTGCGTGTGTGCATGTGTGTGTGTGTGTGTGTGTGTGTGTGTGTGTGTGTGTGTGCGAGGGGGGGGGGTGTACACATGTGCCTATGTGATCGTTTGCGAATGTTTCTAACATAGCCCGTTCGCTAATATCGATTCACTGTTCGGCAGGTGTAAGTGCACATATTTATTATGCATGTGTTCTTTTTACTTCTGTGCATGGCTCTTTCTTGAATCAGTCGAAAAAATTTCATGTTTTGACTTATAGTAAAGATGCATTCATGTTTTGACTGATGGTGAAGAAAAAAGAACTGTTTATCATGTGTTCTTTATGCCCTTCACAGCACCTGGAAGATGCATTCGTGTGGATGGGTGGTGGAGATCAGGTGACACCAGTACACTTCGATAACTCTGAAAATGTCATGTGCATGGTGGCCGGCAGAAAGCATATCCGCATCTTCGAGCCGGGAATGAGCAACTTCCTCTATCCATTGGTGCAGAATAAGTAAGTCAAGTCGATGGGAAATATGCCCTATTCGAAGAAATGGCCATTGTGTTTTGTGAATACCGGCAGAATTCCAAGCCGGTGCTTGCGTTAGAAGCGATACCATCTCTCCTCTCGACATTTCCTGATTTTACCCTCAATTCACTTTCAATTACATCGGTTTTCATTTGACCCGGGCGAGTTGTAAAATGGTGCAAAGCTCTTCACTGAAATTTGGTCATACACAAGTATGTCCAGTTCATCCCATGGGTTGCACAGTGACCAGCGAGTACTTGACTCCCACCATCCGATTTCGTTGAGCAACGCCATACAACTCTCACAATTTTCTCTTGCCTCATCTCCTGTGTGTGTGTGTGTGTGTGTGTGTGTGTGTGTGTGTGTGTGTGTGTGTGTGTGTGTGTGTGTGTGTGTGTATCTATGTATCTATGCTAGAGCTGAGTCGGGTAACATTTCTTCGGGTATCGGGTTCGGGTAGTTTTCCAAGGGTAGCACGGGTACTCGATCTGGTAATGTTTCCGTGGTAACACCACGATGCACCCCTTCTCTTACACAATGGGTAGATGTGCAGAGTCTGCACGCGTGCACAGTACATGATCATCTGCGACTTCGGGTTTTCGGGTACTATTCTGAACCCGTCTACCTGAGGTCCTCTCGGGTAGCATAGGGACCTGACTACCCATGCACATCACTAATGTATGGTACACCATATCTGTATTTACCACAGGAACACGGCAGTCACCAGTCAAGTACGCAACGCCTCCAACCGTAACCAGCCTGACTTCCCGGAGTTTGCGCAGGCAAGCTCGCTGACGGTGACCCTGGAAGCTGGCGATCTATTCTTCTTGCCGGCGTACTGGTGGCACGAGGTAAGCATCATGTATGTTTGTGTGTGTGTGTGTGTGTGTGTGTGTGTGTGCGTGCGTGTGTGTGTGTGTGTGTGTGTGTGTGTGTGTGTGTGTGTGTGTGTGCATGTTTGTGGGTGTGTATGTATATGTGTGTGTGTGTGTGTGTTGGGTGTGTATGTGTATGTGTGTGTGTGTGTGTGTGTATGTGTATGTGTGTGCGTGTGTGTTATCTTTGTATGTGTATATGCATATGGATATGAGTGTGTGTGTGTCTGTGTAGGTATGTGCGCTTGTACATGTGTTTGTTTTACCTTACAAGCTACCCTTTCACTAGTTGATTCCACTTGCCCTTATAAATCTATAATGAAACTTCAGTGCAACTTGCATGAAAAAGTAGATCCTCCGGTCCGTTCCCAAGGGAACACAGGATGGCCGCTAACACCCGGAGAACCTATGCATTCAAGGGCAATGACATCTGCAATTACCAGCCAGGATACTCTATAGAAATGTCAAACAGCAGGTGTAGCATAGTGTACAGTCCATTCAGGAAATACGATATCCTAGATTTTGGCTATAAATGGGTCAAATTTGAAGTTTTTTACAATCTTTTTTGTGCAATCCCCCATGAAATGCTCTTGCAATTTTGTTTCTGAAGTCCATTTCTCCGAAAAGCAAACAATAACAGGAATAGGATTTCGGCCAAGTTGGTCTTGTAAGCTCTAGTAAAAAATAAAAATATAAAGCACTGAATTGGGAATGGTGGCAAGAAAATCCAATCCATTTCACACCACTTGCATCACTGCATTGTCCGGTTCGAACATCACTTGAGGTACCTATTTCGGACCTTTTTCTAACCTAAAATTTCGCGGCACTGCTCTATGTACGATAAAACGACGAAAAATCGACAGATACGAAAGCTCGCCGGAGCCAGAGGTCATCTTTTTATGAATGGACTGTAGTGAAGTGAATATGTATCTAATATTGACTGAGTACGAGGTCAATATAGGAAATAAAAGCCGAGTAAAAGACCGAGGCGAAGCCGATGTCTTTTACGAGGTTTTATTTCCTATACTGACCAAGTACGAAGTCAATATTAGATTTATCACGACAAACAGTCCGTATTTCAAATTCCAGAACGATAACCTCATGAATCCCGGTTTTATGATTGCACAACCGTTGCACCACCACCTACTCATGCAGTGACAATGCTGCACTAGGCACCGTTCAACTGCGCAACCCCTAAGCAGTCAAATATAAGCAGTCAATATAGCCTTAAGGAGTGAAATATGCAGGAATATTTGACTGCTTAGGTATGGCAAAAATCTATGTGAGTCAATACTAAGGGAGTGATAAACTACTTTATGGCCAAAGACATGGCATCGAAAGTACTATTTTATGTCTAAACATGTGGGAAAGTACTATTTTCACATCCTGGCTCCAATTAGTTGCCCAAAGCAGCAAGGCGAATCTTCAGTGCGAAAAGCTAGGGTACCGGTATGTGCTTTTAAGCAGTAGCAGTGATTGAAATTATTTTTAGTGCCACTGTATAGTGTATACCAATCGATCGATATCGATTAATGGGGTCACGAAAGGTTAAAAGCAGGATATCATATCTAAACATTGTGACACTTTCATGCATTGTGCTATCCCTCTGTGTACATTTTCCTGCTGCAGGTGACCTCCTTTGATCGCAACATCGCTGTCAATTGGTGGTTCAACACTCACAGCTACGTCCTTGATGCCGTTTACAACAAGTGGATTGACGAACTGCCACAGACCCAGTGGGGGCTGGAGCAGGACCAGCAGCGAATTGAGCGCGAGAGACAGATGGAGGAACAGTCACGCGGGTCAGGTGGGGAGCGCCGAGGTATTCGCAGGCCCGGTGACGAACTGTAAGATGTGACTGTGCCAGACTAGCCGATGATGTTGGAAGAATGGGATTTTTTAAACATCTCGCATTGTACTTCACACAGTATACTTCTGTTTCGAAGCATGTCTGATACCGGAGCGCTTACCGACAAACCCACCATTCTAGCTCTATATACAGAATGACTCTTTAATCACAGCATACAAAGCATTTTTGCTTTCAGTTACTTCTCTTTTATCCATTTCCTTAACTAATGGATATTTGAATTATTTCACTTGAAATTCTAAACTCTAGGCTGTGCTGTATGGATGATACTGACATGACCTGATGTTTTTATTGGGCTGAACAAACTGTGTTTTCGTTGATATGGAACTGGTGCAAAGTGTGTCATTTGGAGACAATGTCTACGATCGATATTGAGCCGCTCTGAATTTTATATACGTAGGGGACAATTACGCATTGCCATTTATGCTCAAGGATTTGCGTCATGCATTCCCGTAACATTATTTTGCGAGTCCACTGGGGATAAGAGTCATACTGTAGCTCAGTTGGTTAGAGCATTGCTCGCGAATAGCAAGGTCCCTGGTTTGAGTCCCCGTGGTGTGACTGATGATTTTTCTTTCTTTCATATCTGGGTTGCAAGTGTTCAGTTTCGGTGAGAAAAGAGCAATACGTGGCATGTGGCCTCTGATTTCCTAATACTTTGAAATTCTCCTTGAAGTCCAAATTTGAAATTGCAATATGAATAACACTGGCTGCTAAAATACTTCGTTGCTGCGTTATGTACGTTTGAGGAGTATTGGTCGGAGAAGAAGTCTCCTTTATCTCCAGCTAACAAGGTGCAGTTTGAATTTAATTGCACGCAGCACATATTGCTCAACTGTCTCTATCGGTCATTGCACAGAAAATAGGTGAGAAAAGTTTATTCGGAAGATATTTCAGTTAGAAAATTTAAAAGTGGAAGGGTTAAAACCCAGTACGGAAAAGGAAAAAATGAAACAGGAGAAGATTATGGATTTGCTGAAGTAATGCCCTGCAAAGCAGACACAACAACATTCACAAACAGAATAACTTGTAAGTGAATAACGTTTGAAATCGAGCAATCATGACCAACCAGTGTGCCTTGTCATGCGCGGAAATGTTTAGGAAAGCAGATTTTTTTAAAGGTGCTGACAAGAATGAAAGAGAGACGTTCTAAGATGCCTAGCAAAATCACTGAAAAGAAGCATGGAAACTAACAAGGACTAGCCTTTACATAGGCGCTAACGTTTACACGGATTAATAGACGAGGAAAGGGGGCAGTGTCATTATCGAGCAACAATTACAAACACATAAAGACGCATGCATGCATGCAAAGCACTCCGTGAAGAATTTGTGTACAGTGTAGAAACATGATAACGATAAAAAAATTCACGGTTCGCGTCAGACTCGGCTAGAGGCCGAGTTTCCGCATCCGTAGGAATGCCACCACCCTTCAAGGATCAAGGCGCATGATAACAAACGAGGAGGTAATACTGACCCCAAAGGAGATCAGGAAATACAGAACATTGTTTATGTGTCCATTCAGCACTTCTGCGGAAACGTGTGACCTTTAGCACTGAAGTCGGGCACGAAGACTTCCAAATGTATAATTATGTGTGAAGTTCGGAAGACAATTTTCCACAGGAGAAAAATATTCTTTTGTTCTGCGATGGGTAAGAGCGGGTAATTGGGGCAAAGATACGCTCTTGGCTGATGTGTGCGAAATTCCAAAAGTGATAGGAAATCGAAAACCTTGCAATTAAATCCGATACACATTGTTCAGGAAATTGTGCTAAATGTTTTGGCAGATATGCACACCAGCGTGATGATAATAGCGACTAAATAGCCGAGTTGAGATGTTTTGCTCATATCTGCTCAAGCGTGCCACCAGCAGATTTGGTATGCAATACAAACATGGGACGGTGACTTGGCACATCGACCTCCCAAGTGGAGGAATGTAGCGAGAAGAAAAGATGGAACGTTGGTGATGAAGCTGATAATTGTGCTGCAAAATGATGCATTTGAAAGGTGTGTGAAATTGCACAATTCATGCCGGTCAAATCTCGGTCACGTATCCCCAAAGATCAGGGTGTTGAATTCTGGAAAGTGTACTGGCAGGACACTGAATGTATGGCAGAGCAGTTGCGAGAAAAATGAGTCGACGAGTGGCTCGGTGCTGCAGAGAAATTCAATTTTGATTGATGGTGCACAAAATCGATAGACTTGTGTGTTAGAATTATGAAATCAAGCCATATTCACGTAAATGCCATCATTCCCGACCTTCGGAGAGGAGTTGCCTGGTTTAACGTTGACATAGGTATTCTCTTCTGCCGTTTGCACGTCATGGGAATCGCTCTCAGTGGCTTGTGGTTTGGGGCTTTGTTGCGTAGCATCAGGTGGGAGAGAAGCAGTCACGTATGCATAATCAGCTTCAGCGATATCCGCCACCTCACCACCTGCTTCGTACACAAAATCACCCTCTGGAGTCGCCGAGGGTCTTTGCTGCACAGCACCGACGTATTCATAAGCAAAGTCATCTTCTGATGCGGATACGTCTGTGTTGTCAGCCACACAGCTCCCATCTTTCTCATCATGTTGCTTGTGGATCGATCCTTGCGACGTTGGGTCTTCCTGACCAACACTCTGAGCTGCAGGCGGTGGCTGATAGCGATCCTCGTTGCAGACCCGTACAAGATCCAACTCGTTAAGCTGTGGCTCCAGTGCGACTCCCATGCCCTTTGTGATCCTGGCACGATACAGTAGCACAAACGGCACCACTGCCACGATAAGCACAAATGCCAAGACCGCCAGTAGTCCGAGTGACATGGAGGTTAGCTGAGTTGATGCATCCTTCTGCTGAGGGGGTATTAGAGCTGGTAGAACAGAGCAGAGAGAAAAGAATAGTCCACGTCTGAAACACAGTTTAATGGATGTAGCCCTGTTGGATAGGCATTCGTACTGGAATAACACCATATCAGTACTAGGAATCTGTACCGTTAACTTGGGCATGGATTAAACGTCAATTCCCTCCAGAATTTCGCGTTCTTATAATTACGTGGTACGAAAAGTTCGTTGTAGTGGTTGCGACTTGATGTGACTTGACTTTACACGACTGACTCACGACTCACGACTGACTGTTTCTCGCGCTGGAAACGGAGTGTCTCTGTAAGTCGTATCCGTGGTGATGATTGTGCGCTGAGGAGCACTATAATTATACACTATAATGTAAGTGGTGCTCTTCAGGGACAACCCTCCTCAGCTTACTCAAGCTAAACTGATGACGGGGGAATCCCCGTAACACTGTGTCTTGGGCAGGGAGTGATGCTTTCTTGCAGATTTGAAGGTTCGATGGACTTCTCATGTGCTCTGGATGGCAGTCGTGAGTCAGTCAAGTGTCTAGTCAAGTCGTCGCGCGAGCTCCAGTGTGGGGAGCAAACATAATGTGGTGGTCAGGTATTTCAAGAATCCAGGGGTGAACTCAACCATATTTTTCAGCTGTGATCAGTTTGCATGTACGCACACCCGGTCATAGTTCAAGAGTCGTGTGTCTATCATAGAAGTGCTGGGCAAAAGCACAAAGTTTAGCAAACCGAGCTGAGTATGCCACACAAGTGGTCTGTATGCTCAGAACATTGCCCGTGTAACGTGGCAGTGCAGGGTTTCCGTTTGATGGTGCATTCCTGGCAGTATAACTTATAAGGTAACCGGTCTCCGAGGAATGGGCCAGGAAAGGTTAGATGCTTGAAGTGAGCAAATCCTGAGCGAGAATTTCAATAGCATCATCACGAATTTCCTAGAAACTGTGAAAATTATAATAATAGTTTATCACATGGCACATGATTGTTGCCCGTACTCCAGCGAATCAGCACCTTTCGCACCGCGGGCAATAATATGCGATATTGCCTGAAAAAAAATAGTTTATTTGCCCGCAAAAAATAGTTTATTTCAGTGATCGCATGACTACGACGACTCTGTAGACTGTATGACTCTACTACGAGCCGCAGTGTAGCATTGAGACGAAGATGGGATTCGTTCGTTTTGGAGATGGACGTCCCGGCAATTGACATGTCCTCGGACGTCTGCCGTGTGGTGCTTGCAAGGATCATTTGTTCAGTCATGTTTGCAGCCTGACCGTCGGTAAGCTTGTGGATAAGATTCAGTTCTGCTCGATGTGGTACTGTGATCACAAACAATTATTTGAAATAACACAAGTTCAACTCAGCATCGTGCGTTTTAAGATCCTCGCAAAGTCACTGCCTGTGTGTGGTCTTCCTGTGCCGCGCAAAACTCTTACCAGGTCCATCTGTCCTCTGCCTTCACCTTTGCTTGAACAACAAACACAACAATGCAGGAATGTTTTGCAATGAAAAATACTTGAAGTACAGCTATCTGGAGCTGGAAAAAAAGAAGAAAATTGCCCTCAGAATTACACACCAGGGAGTCGTCAAATACTTGCACTTGTTGCAGTACTGTATTTGACAACTTCCTGGTGCACATGTATACATGTAGAAACTCTTCGTGGTAGCACTCTTAAATTTTCAACTGAAATTGTGATTCTGCTGTGTTTCATTGTGGTTGCCATGTCTATTGCTATGACGATGCCGTGTCGGCACTTTTTTTCTGGCTCCGTCTTCCAGTACTGTATACTCTCTGATGGCCTGTAGCAGACTTTTTGTTAGGGTGTAGGAGAAATATCTTCATTTTTTCCGGTTTTGATAATGATAGCACATCAATACACATTGTGGTCATAATGTGTTGGCATTTGGGCTAGTTTCAACAGCAGCCCAATGGTCTGCTCTGTGGGCCATGTGATAAATTTGTAATCGCATTGTTGCTGCGGGCCTTATGGCATACTAACTTCTCGGGGCAAAAATATGCCATAAGGCCCTCGCAACCATTCGATAACATATTACATATCTTATAATTATACATATCGTGCAAATCCAGGCAAGCAGAGGCACCAATTGAGAACGCCCTAGGTTTAGCATTATAATAATAGTTACTCTTAGAGACATGCATAGAAGGTCCTGGGGTATCGATGCAGACATCACTGGATTCTTCTTTGTCGGTCGCTTACCAGAACAATTCGTTCCAGGTCCAGTGTAGCCTTTTCGGCAAGAACATGTATATGAACCATTGGTATCCATGCATGTAGCATTGGCATGGCAGTTGTGAGTCTCGGGCGCATCGCATTCGTTGCTGTTTGTACACTGTGTGCCTACAGCGAACATAGAAACAGTACAGGTACAGTCAACGTCGAGTATAACGACACTCGGCGGGGCATCAGAAAAGTGTCCTTATTGGCGTCGGGTCCTTATGCCCAAAGTATGTATTACAGTTGGATGGGAACTCACGCTGGGCATGGAAATTCTGTCGGTTGTGGCGAATTGTCATTATATCCGCAGTCGTTATTAGCGAAATTTACTGTATAAAGGTATTTTTGACTTTTCCTTTTGGGTTGCAGACATTGGTATAGTGAATTACTCACATTTTCTCAGTCCCGTCCGAAGTTCCCCGATTGTGAAATAGCGTTGGTGCGAAAATATGGAAAATGGTTACGCACAAAGGCTAATTGGAGGTCATTTCAAAGGCCAATTATGGACCCAAGCCAAAATTGTACTCAAAATAGAGCATATGGGTACAGATTCTGTGTTTGGATAAAAGGGAATAATGGACTCGGATGGAGAGGCAAGGATAAATGTATCGAAAAGAAGAGGACCAAGGAAATACAAGTATGTTAGTTGGCTCACCATCCGATGTTAGTTGGTGTTAGTGGACATAAAATATTGAAACTTGTAATACCTTGATCCTTTCTTTTGTGTAAAAATGGAATAACGGAGATGTTTAAAAACTCGGAAGGCATGACGAAGCTTGGACGGCTGCCCTTGATAGCGTTGCCAGTGTCGTCCTCGAAAGTTCTCTTCATAGTGCAGAATAATCTTGCACATGTCATACTCATACATGTGGACTGTCAAGAACTAGAAAATTGCTTCCGCTTCGACATACCGGTACAAGATGTCTCCGACGCTTACCTGAAGTCAACCCTTGTTCATATTCATATCCATCCACACAAATACATTTGTAGCTTCCGATTGTGTTAGCGCAATTGCTATTATTTGGACATTCCGCTGACGGCAAGGCACCTCCCGTTAGTGGAACGCACTCATTTTCATCTTCACAGATAACTGAACAAGTAGCAAATAAAAGCAAGACATACACAATGACTACACAAATCCTCTGAACTCCGAGATTTATCTTCTTCGTTAATCGTACGTAATGGGCACAGAAAGGCTTGAAACACACGATACAGCAGGACATAATAATTGAAGAGCCAAGATTCCCCGTTCATAATCTGCTGTGTTGCTGCAATTAAGTTCATATTCATCTGTCAAGTTATTCTCTGGCCAGGGACACCCACAACTTCCTTAGAAAAGTGGATGTGGAAGGCAGTGAAACGTGCGTTATAACTAGGCTAGGCTATTCAGACTACGACCAACTGTGATCATGTTTCTACGATTCAGACTTGCTTGATCTGGGATTGTGCTTAACATTTTTAAACACGACTGCATCACAATGGAAATGCAAGTTCACACGTGATTTTGGCCGCAGTGTGAATCGCCTATTTCAGTCCGACGACGTTTTAGCTTTGTGAACATGTATTGGCCTAGTGAATATGCGATTTGGCTCCATGGCTCACAGGCTCTCGTCACAGGCGCTGCACACCAAATCCAGGATACCCTCAAAAATCGGCAAAGACTAATACACACGTTCCACTACTGCCTAGTACTGAATCCTACCTGAATTCTTGACAAGACTCAAACTTGCCAAAATCATTAACTCAACGTCAACTACAATAATCAAGCCACATATCTGCAACCTCACGAGGGTACTGGCAAAAGTCGTGCAGCCCAATACATGGCTAAAAAAGTGATTTTTGGACTTGGAGCACACTTCTGCACACTTTCGCGTGTTTCCATGATACGACAAGTTGCACACGGTCTACTCAGATTCAAATACAGTGCTGCCAAAAAATGACAGCGTGCAACAAAAAAATCTTTCCTTGCAAGGGCACATTTTCGGCCATAACTCTTGAACGGCTGGTCTGATCGAGACAAAATGTTCAGAGATTTTGCAGCTATTCATGCTCTTTCAACTGATGTAGCACTCGACATGAATTTACAAATTCGATTTTTCAGGGATATTACGACCAGGCTGCCCCCTTAAATGCACCAGAAGAGCCCGCGGCTGGAAGACCAGCGCCCCATGGCCGCTTGACTTCAACGAATTTCAAAGTCCGCTACACTAACAGTGCATGATTGTTTACGACCTAAGCACCTACCATATGCCAAGGACCATCTCTATCCAGAGACGTATTCGTCCTCTACACACGTATCATGCTGGGAGTGGGGGTTAGAGGGGAAGGGGGGGGGGAGGATTTCTCTACATGAAAATAGCTCCTTCACTCACCCCCCTCATCCCTTCTTTGGTTTCTCTCTCTCTCTCTCACTCTCTCTCTCTCTCTCCATCATTGTCCGGCTCTCAGGTTCTCACTCTTCATACACAGTCTTTCTTCTCTCCCTTTCCCCCATGGTGCGTGATGTGCGCCTTGATCCTGAGACCATTGGTCCGGAGAGCGCACTTCACCTCACCGGCACAGCTCAATAGCACCTACACACCCTTTGTAGTCCCCTGTGTTCTCTTGGTGTTGATGTTGTTTTTCTCTTCCATTCTATGTAGGCATGTGCACTTTCATAAAAAAAACAACAACAAAAACATACAAAGCGCAATCCGCTTACCGCTTCCATGCCTGAACCAGGGTACAAACCCATGTTTGCACTGGCATGAGTAACTTCCGACTGTATTATTACAGATAGCGTTGCTTTCACATGGACTGGTTCGACATTCATCGATATCTCCACACTTGTCTTCTGTGATTGAGAAGAAATTTGGCAGAAAATGTTTTTTAGAGCTTGTTTTGTTGTGGCTTCGGTATCGATGAGGACGCATACTGCTGTGTTGGGGCACCCTATCAAGAGATGTACGAAGTCTTGATTGTCCTGTTGGCAACGGATCTGGGAAGTTATATTTCCTACCGGCCGAGAGCATCGGGATTGGCGACATATGATTTCTTGGGCTACATTTTCGGTAGCAAATACGGCATCTAGCGTGTTCTTTATCGTCGTTTATTTTCCCGACTTCTTCAGTCAGCTGGGAGTCTCACCAGGCCTTACAGCCCTTGAATTTGTGTGTTGTGGCTATTGTTCTCTATGGCTTTGGCTGTGTGTGCCAGCACAGTAAAACCTGTGAAGGCGACCACTTGGATAAGGCGACCAACTGTCCAAGAAGACCACTGAAACCATGATCAAGGGATGCTATTTCCAGTCAAATGACCCTGGATAAGGAGACCACATTTTTGAAGGTCCCTTGAGCGGTCGTTTTAGACAGGTTTCACTGTATTATGAGAAGCTAGAAAATATGAAGGCTATGGAACTGTAAAAGCCCGCTCAGGCTCCTTGACCAAAGAGTCGCTCACAAAGAATACAGATCTCCTACAACTTCAGTCTACCCGGCTGGATTGTTCTACCGCGGTGTCGAAGGCTTCCAAGAATACAAGGTCTTTGTACTCAAAAACATAGGTCTCCTCCTACTAAAAATAAAAAGACAGGAGGAATATTAATAAAGCAATAAATAGACCTCTGCCGTCATCACAATGCATGCAACACATGCGCACGCGCACGCACCTGCCCTATTATTGCGATGCTCTATCTGTTTGTGGTTTTCTCTGTCTATTGCTGTCCTCTAGCCGAGTCTGACATGAACCATGAAGTTTATTTCATTTTATTTTTATTGCTGTGCTCTTACACGCATTTTTAGCACACGGATAAGCGGCAGTGCATTTTTCATCAGAATTGTTCTTACTCTGTGTGGTGACCTAACACATCCACTACCTTGATTTATTTTACCCACCACTCATTGACGTACTCTGGTTAATAATCATAAAAACCGAAACGTTCTTAGAGCCACACCCTGTTCCATGGATGATGTGAGTGGATGCATGATTGTATTGGATGACCGAGCTTTATATTTTAGGTTGCGAGTCTAAACTTGTTGCCTCCTCGTCGACTTTTTTTATCAGCCATATTGGTACGTTCGGCCTCCTGTCCTCTATGCAGCGTTGATGAGTCCACAAAGGACGAAACAGTTCTGTCCGCAGATTGAGCATCAGTCATATTGTCAACTTTCCATCACGGCCCATGGCATGTAAAGATGAAGTACTTACGAGAAGTTGAGTCCTGTTTCACTTCATATCCCTGTAGGCATGTACATAGGAAACTTCCGATCGTGTTGACACACTTGCTAGTACTGGAACAATTTGCTGATGGACTAGTCCGACCAGGGAGAGGAGCGCACTCGTTTTCATCATGACATGTAGTTTCTGTGCTTGTTTCTGGAACAGTGAAACAGAGAAAATATTGCAATATTCTCATCCCTTATAATGATCGTCTTGTTTTGGTACTGAGGGGAAAAGGAAAATTTGGTCAGGACCACCGGAGACACTGCTCTAATTATTATTACTCATCAAAAGGACACACTTCAGGCTCATTTCAAGCATTTTGAAAGTTTTTGTCTTCACGAGTATACTTTGACGGCGATGGCAGCGACTAAAGCACAGACAGAGGCAACGGCTAGGGTCCACTCGACTAGCCATGTGATATTGGATGTGTCAACCTCACATGCTGATTGTTCTGATGTTAGTTCTGATAAGTATGAGTCGTCCATTGCTAGTCATTTGTTTGAGCATCCTGATCGTGGTGCTGTGTATTCAGATGATTGTTTTCGATTGTGTCACGTGCACGCAGTGCTAGATTGCTGAATGTTTTGGAAGCCGTATACATCCACACAAAGAAACCCAACCTTTGCAAGCAGAAACAAATTAAATTCACACTTAGGCTGTTAGGTAGGTCGTCATAACCTCGTTAGTTACATGTATGTCCAGTGTTGTCTCTTGTTGTCGCACTACATGTCACGCTTATTGAGTTTTCTCGCACTTGCACCTTTGTGTCATTATTGCAATTTTCGCTGTTTACTTTAGCTATCTTCTTCTTTGCGCAGTTTTACCACCTTCTTACTGTATTTAATCCACTGTTCCTGTTCCTTTTCCCTTGCCTGTATTTCACCTGAGGAGAAGGCTTGAACGTATACTTGTGAAGAAAAAACTTTCAAGATGTTTGTAATGAGCCTAAAATGTGTCCTTTTCATGAGTATTATCGCATTTTTGTCTCAGCGGAAACTGTTTACTAATTATTATTATTATTATTACACAGCTTCGCGAAATGGAGATACGGTCGATAAACACAAAGTAAAAAAACATACCATGCTGTTCTAATAATAGAACTAATATTAAGACGCTCCGTTTGCTTTGCTTCATTCTAGGATTGAAAGCCAATGATTCATTTACAGTAAAGAAGGGGACCAAGGCTGTACAAGTTACGCTATAATGTCCATGAACACCACCAGTGTTACTGGACATTATAGCGTATCTTGTAGTTCCTTGGTCCCTTTCTTCGCTTTATTCTCATGCAATTGGTTACTATCTCACCTGATTTTGGCCATGGTACAAATCCACGTTTGCAATGGCAAGCATAACTACCAGCAGAATTGATACACGTCGCGTCGCTAACACATGGACTGCCCAGGCATTCATTGATGTCAGTACAGGTTGGTGCACCTGTACAACATCAAAGTTGAGTTGTCAACGAAGGAAAAAGGTTGTGAAAGCAAACCTCTGTGCTACAGGGAGTTCTAAAAAATCATTTAATAATTTTGCATGTAGCAGTTCTGTCAGCAGATTTCGCACCTGCTATTTGTGGTAGTTGAGTACTAGTATGTGGGATAGTGCCGTTGCTGTTTGCTTTCGGCACAGCTCACTGACTTGTCACTTTGAGCACCCCAGCAAGGTACGCTCGGACGGGGTTTAGATCTGGCTTTGTAAAATAGATTTTTCATTGCTATCAGGTTTGGCCTCATCTTCTCGGTACTGTGCTGATGAGGTCACAAAGGACGAAACAGTTCTGTGCGCATATTGACTATGTTGCATCTAGTACCTCCATAACATGCAAGTGACGTTAGTGAAACTCACTCAAGAATTGTCTACTGCCGTTAATATCACCGTCTTGCCAACTTGCCAAGTGGAACCAGAATCGATATGGGATAAGCAGCTGTATTCGGCCTCGTACTGATTTGTCGTCCACCACCACACCACAACTGCCCTCTCCACCCGACCTTTACACCTTGCCATCCCACACCATCAGGAAAGCGACATATCCTTTGTTATGCCATTCCTTCATAAAGAAGATGTTCAAAGAGAGGGCCGTTTCATTATAATGCAGGAATACGCCAAAGAGACGTAACCAGTTAGGTAGGCTTGAACGAATGCTAAACCGAGATTTGCGTTCAGTGTACGATACTGGATTTTGTAGTCCATCAAGTCCTTTATTTGCGAGACTTGGTCTAGATCGTTTGGTATCCATGTATTGCAAGAAATTTCTGTATTTGACGAGGCGCTGTCTGGAAGGCCGCTGTAGTGTCACATTAAGTCAAATGTTCAAGCGCTTAAAAATGGTCTTGCAACGCGCAGCCTTGTATCACGCACTCTTAATGTTAAAGATGCCCATGCTCAGAACTGCCTTTACCCGTCAAGGCGCTTCCTTCCAATGTGCTAAGTTGTGGAATGATTTACACCCTTTAGCTCGATGTGTGATAACTACGCCTGTTTTAAGAAACTCTTACCCCAATGCCTTGCTTTTTCATGCTAGTACATATGACATTCAGCTATGCAAAACTTATGCAAAAGTTGGGCGCCCATCTTTTGTTGCCTCAGCCATTCGTTCTATCGCGGACATGATCACCTATCCAATAGTCTATTTACATCTTTCCCTCGAGTGGGTCTATTTTTACACGAGGATACAGAACTGGATAATGAACTGTACCGGTAGATGAAGAGGCTAATGTGTATGTGTATGCTTGTGTGTGTGTGTGTGTGTGTGTGTGTGTGTGTGTGTGTGTGTGTGTGCGCGTCGCTTATGCAATTGTCTCCATCAATTTAGTCTCCTCGTCGATCTTTTTACCAGAACTGTTATCGAATTCCTACAAGGCCAATGTTATGTTAAAACGAAGTACTTACGAGAAGTAGGGTGTATGTGTGTATTTTGGTGTGTGGGTAGGGTTGATTTAAATGAACTTACCCGTTACTGAACCTTGGACCGGTACAAAACCCGCTGCACATGTGCATTGGTAACTTCCCAGGATATTCACACATTTGCTATTGTCTGGACATTTGGCCGTTGGCTCAGTAGCACCAGGAAGAGGAACGCACTCATTCTCGTCTTCGCACACTGTTCCATTGCCTGTGAAGGGTGTTGCAAAAGATGACCCAGAAGAGGAATTATATATTTTCCCCGTTACAACACCATTAACCATCAAAGAGAAATGTTTTAGAGCAGACCTGCCTTTCCAATTCACTCTGCAATGTCGAACTCTATTTGAGCCTCTAGATCCAAAAGGGGGCTTATTTCATTTTTGAGCATTTGAGTTATCTACATGTATACCATTGCTATATCCCTGAAGATCACTCTGTAAAAAACCTAGGTCCCAAATCTATATCTTTCATAAAGTTATGGGTCTTTCAAAACGTGAATTATACCTCGCTTAATGCAGAAAACTCAACTCTCAAATGCATTTTTTCTCAATACTGCGCGGAACGACATAAGCCCTCTGTTCGGAACTAGAGGCTCATTTATCAATCAGTTTTTACAACATTTCGACATATTATTGACCTCATCTGGCATGCAATGACATGCAATCTTGCAAAGGAGCAGTTATAATTATAATACTATGCTGTGGTACATCGCGACGTGCTCCGCAAGAGTGACATGTTCAGCAAGAGTGACGTGTTCAGCAAGAGTCACGTGTTCAGCAAGAGTGACGTGTTCAGCAAGAGTTCAATATTGGAGAGTGTATGGGAAAGAGCGGTCTGTTTTCCTATGAATGAATCTGCAGGAAGCCTCACCACTGCTACTAAATCAACTACCAAAATGCTGTCACTCTCATTTGCAGACTTGAGGGAGGTATATATTCTAAGATAACGGCAATCCCGACATCCTAACAGTCCTCACCACCCTACGTCCTAAACCGCCCGAACGAGACCGAACGGAAAAACAATCATCATTAATGACTAGAACAAAAATCGCCATTATTCACCAGATGGTTACTATGTCAATAACTATTGCAACGATTACAGACAGACGAACCTGCACCTTGTGTTTTCCATGATACAAATCCATGTTTGCAGTGGCATGTGTAGCTGCCAGCTGTATTGGTACAAGTAGCATGAGTATCACATGGATTTCCTGTACACTCATTTACGTCATCACACTGACTTTCTCCTACAACACAGATAAAGTCAAAAGAAGGAATTATGGTGTTACTTGCAAAGACTATTAATTGTAATGTATCAAGAACAACTGAAAAGAACTTCAAACAAAGTAATTTTACTTTGTTTGGAATCAGATGGAGAGCGAAGGGTATTTTATATTAAAGAAAAAGGGACCAAGAAACTCCAAGTTACGCTATAATGTCCACAGACACCACCAGCTACTAAAGAATCAGATCATGCGATAACATTGCACGACACTGACCGGCGGTACTGACGTTCTACAACTAACTGGCTAACAGCTCTAGCACATCTAGATCACGTGGGTGCGTTCAGTTGAGTCGTAATATTTTCAAACCTGGTCACGGGGAACGCGTTCACGGGGAACGCGTTCCCCGTGATCCACGTGAAAATGTTACGACTCAACTGAACGCACCCACGTGATCAACATAAGATACAAGGTTTTTGCTCCTATCCCAAAAGTAATATGGTTGAAAATCTTGCAGATCTCAGATAGGATCGCTTTGGCATTATTGTTATGAAGCAACTATCCACGACTGTTACAAGATAATAAGCAGTCAGAATGTGCGATAACAGGGCACAAAACCGACAGGCTACTGAGACATTCAACGACATAAGACCTAGTTCTAATACATGTCCAGTGCGCAAACCAACAGCCTTCCAACTTTAAAGGTTCAAGGTTGGACCAACGCGCTTTCTTCTTCTAAGTTACATTTAATACTGGATCATTATCGAAGTTCAACTTTTCATCATCTTTTCCTTCGCCAAAAGAAGGTCTTTTAGGAATATTCTCTGTCAGATAATGCCCGGAATGTTCGAATTCACAAAAATCAGGATGTCATTCTGATTCACCTAGAAAGTATCAAAACATACTCCACTTTACATGCGAAAAGTGCTTACATAGACAATATCATTTTTGAATGGATTGGGGACAACTTCAAATTCAAAGGACTCAAAGAAACAAAATACCAGACCCATCAGGACTCGAACCCGGGATATTTGAAGTGAAAAAATTGTCAGCGCCTTCTAGACTCAGCCTAGTCCCATAGCTCAGTGATTAGAGCATTGCTAAGGACAAGCAAGGTCCGGGGATCGAGTCCTAGTGTGTCTGGCGACATTTTCTCTTTTCAGGCAGTTCACTTCCCCCACTGATCCTTTGAATAGACAAAATAATTCATACATATCCGCTTGATGACAATGCGCGAACCATGCCACGTGGGGACCCACGATTAGCGACCAGTACATGTTCCCTCAGCAATACAATCGAGCCAAGAGATCTATTTATGATGGCCCAGGCAACGAGAACAGATCCAAAGCATATTGTAATTTGTATGTGTGCAAACGGGTGCAACAGTTGATAAGGCTATTATAGCCGTGGACTTCATCACAGCTCTAACAATTCAAAAATGCAACAGCAGCGACCAGGAGTGTGCAAAAACTAGTAAAGCAGATAATGCAGGAAGAAAAAGTAAGACATGGAACAGTAAGTGAACCCCTTGTGACCCTACTGAAAGTACGATAATTTACTCACCTTCAAAAAAAAACATGCACTTTCACTTGTATCTCTGCCAAACATTCCCCAATTTTCACAAACTTGCCACCACTGGAAGGTATTTCCAAGACGCAGCGACTAATACCCCATTCAAGCCAGCTACCTGCATGGCTTCTGCTCTGCGTGGCCTAGAATGCCGCTCAAAACAGCAGCCATGCGCGAACAGCTCCAGCAAAGTTCAAACAGCCGCCATTCCATTCTCCTTTACCACATCGACTTCAAACAAAATACAGCCGAAAGCTCGTTTCAAGCGCAAATTGTTTTCGTGTGCAGCATGCTTGAGTATGACGTGGCACTCCGGGGAAGCCCCCGCCAAATGCAGTGTGAAAATTTGAATTTTTCGATCGGAGTGAATTGTTTAGTTTTCCTCTGATCTCGAGTCTCACCACGGCGGCATTGTATCTCGTAGAGACTTCGGATACCTTCGACGTGATAGCCAAGGTTTCCCTCGAAACGTAGATGCTTTGTTTATGAACATCGACGAAGGAACACCAGAGATATACCTTTTTTAGTGCCACTGTATACCAATCGATCGATATCGATCGATGGGGTCTAGGGAGGGCCCGAATATGCTTGCGCATATTTTCGCATATTTTGGTCATTTTGACTAGGCCTTGACAGATTATGCTAGCACAATTATTCGCATAATTCCTACCAAAATCGAATAATCGCATAATTCGAGGCAAATTGCATACGGATCGCATAAAATTGGAATAATCCGCCTGTTCGCATCAAATTCCATACAGTTGTACATGTTCTACAAGTACAAGTACAAGTAGATACACCAGGAAGGCGTAGGTTTACGACTCCCTTGATGACATGTCCAGTCCACTACAATCAGTGACCAGGGTGACGGTCGTAGCTAGGTCGGACGGTGCGTTGATCCCGTTGAACTTTTGCTACTACAGTACAACGCCCTCTACAAAAAATTCACCTGTTGTGTTATTTTGCACAGAACCATCATATACATTAGCAGCATATGTGAGCATAATGCGGCATAATATGATAACTTTTAGCATAAAAATAGCATAATTCTGCCATTTTTTCAGCCATGCGAAAAGCATAATTTCACGAAAATATTAGCATAATCTGTCAAGGCCTAATTTTGACTCAAGGTCGCATAAAGTAGCAAATCTAGCATATTGTACCAAATGTAGCATATTTTGCTACAAGGAGCAAATAATTCGCATAATTATAGGGAAGATTGCGGAAATGGACAAGGAAACTTACCACGGCAAGCTCGGTCAGGGAACACTTCCAAACTTAGCCCGGAAGGAAAAAATACTCATCCAAACACGGGGGGAAAATTTGACCCGAGAAGAGAGGGTCCGTGATTCAAGGTCGCATAAAGTAGCAAATCTAGCATATTGTACCAAATGTGGCATATTTTGCTACAAGGAGCAAAGAATTCGCATAATTATCACTGATATCAGTTCATATTTCGAGCATGTTTCGAGCATATTTCGAGCAAACCTTTCTGCTTTTGTGTGATTTCGAAGCATATTTTGAAGCAAATGGCCAATATGCAAAAATCATAAGATGCGAAATTTTTGAGCATATTTGGGCCCTCCCTAATGGGGTCACAAAGTTAGGGTACCCTGTAAAAAGGCCTTAGGCCTGTGGGGATTGCCCTATTCAAAATTTACATAATAATAATAAAGTTAACACCACTTTTTCGTGACCCTAATGGCCAAGTGGTCAAAATTAATTACAAAATAGAGACCTTCCTACAGTACTGACCTGTTTTTGTTACGGACTTGGCCACAAATCCAGGGAGACAAATGCAAAAGTAACTACCATGGGTGTTGACACACCTACTTGCATTTTTACAATCGTTGCTGGTTTCCTGACATTCGTCAATCTCTTGACATTCAGGAGAATCAACTGATAAAAACACAGCAGGTGGCAGGTAGAGGTAGCAGTGAAAGTGACATGACGGATGGACAAAAAACGAAGAGTAAAGAAGAGAGCCCGGACGTGTAAATACCGTGTTTCCCCGTAAGTTAGTTCTCCCCAAAGACATAGTACCCATATAAAAAATACACTTTCCACTGCCGAGGTTATCACTCCGAAAGACAGTTCCCCCGAAAGATAGTAAGTTCGTACCCGTCCTACATGTACAGACACCGTACAGTACATACATCATATGCACGGACACTAGAGTTGCGCAGGCTTCCCACTGCGTGTCATTTACCCCCTATAAAAAGGTACACCCCGAAAGATAGTAGCACCCCCGAAAGTTAGTACTCATGTGGCTGCTAAGTTCGAAAGTTAGTACGTACTAACTTACAGGGAAATACGGTAGTACAATACAATGTGTGGTGCAGGTATGGATTAAAACTGATATTCTTGCTATGAGTGCACCCCTTCTCGAAGCACTCACAACAATAATCTAAAATTGCCTGCATGGATGTTTTCCTATCAATATTTTCAAAAGGAAACTCTCCTTGACCCACTCACTCATCAACGAAACTTTTTCTCTTCGTGTACAAGGCATCTTCAACATCTCCTTTGCAAGCGGCGTATACCCACTTGTTTGGAAGTTTGCTGTTGTCACTCCCATTTATAAGAATAAAGGTTCTCGTCAGCACACTACCAATTATCGCCCCATTTCGCTGCTACCAAGTTTGTCGAAAGTATGTGAACGTGTTGTTTACAATATTCTGTATAAACATTTCTCACCCGCGCTTTCTCAGTACCAGTCTGGCTTCTGTCGTGGGGACTCGACCTCGCTACAGCTGACCCGCATTGTCCAGGAGCTGTACACTCAGCGACACCAAAGGCGCCATCAAGGTCTCTGCTTCTTCGACTTGGCCAAAGCATTCGATTCGGTATGGCATAGAGGGCTGATCGCAAAACTACGATCGTGCTACCGTGTCACCCACCGCGCCAACAACTGGTTGTGGTCATACCTGAGCATGCGGACCCAAGCCGTGAAAGCAGGCGGCCTGATTTCGGAGGATCGTCCAGTAAATACAGGTGTACCACAAGGGTCTATTCTTGGCCCCCTGCTTTTCTTGATGTACGTGAATGATTTGCCATCCGTTACTCCTTGCCTCTCGCTTTATGCAGATGACACCGCACTTCACCGCTCAGCCTCCACCGAGCACGAACTAACGGTATCGCTCCAGCAGGGCATCGATGCCGTGGTAAACTGGATGAAGATCTGGAAGCTACAGCTCAATGTCCAGAAGACAAAAGTGTTGTATATTTCTGCACGTCCACCATCTGCACCGTTGACGTTTCCGAACTGCACCCAGGCCCTGGAAGTTGTAACTTCTCACAGGCACCTGGGAATCGTTCTTGACTCGAAGCTATCATGGTCCGAACATGCTGACCATATTTGCCTTAAAGTATCCAGAATTTTAGGAACTCTGAAGCCTCACTGCCGTTATCTGCCTCACGACTGTAGATCTCTGTTTTTCTCTTTGTATATTTGTCCGATCTTCGACTACTGTGACGTAGCGTGGTGTGGGTTATCAACCACGATATCAGACAAGCTCGAAGTTTGCCAACGAAAATTATTAAAAATGCTATTTTGCTTGCCCCGTGATTTCTCCTCTGCACAACTCTATGTTCTCGCTCGTGTTTGCCCCCTTTCTATCCGACGCAGTCTCCACAGCAACATGCTAATTCAAAAGATAAAACTCGAGAAAGTACCAAGGCATCTTTTTCCCTATGACTGGTTTGTGCGGAGCCGTTCAACAAGGGCACAAGTCTCGCTACCTGCAGCTCGCACTGTCCAGTTTACAAAATCCCCTTTGTTTCATTCCTATTCTGACTGGCTCAAGCTATCAAGCCTCGCCCACCACTGCCACAGCATGTCTCAGTTTCGCCAAGTTGTTTGTGCTGAGTTGCGTTTTCCTGCAGCACTCACGCGTGTTTAGCTAAACAATGTAATTTCCGGCTATCTCACTTAATTGGCTGAGCTTTGTTTTCCTCCCTGTTCCTTTCTTGGCTGAGCTTTGTTTTCCTCCCGGTTCCTTTCTTTCCACTGTTTTCTTGTTTTCTTTTGTACTTTTACCATGGCTGGTTATCGCCCTCATCTCTGGGGTTGCTCCCCACATTAGCAATGCGTGCACATGCTACGAGATTGAGTTTAATAATAATAATAATAATAATAATAGTACGAAGTAGTGGTTGCGACTTCGGCGATAATTTGTAAGAAAGGGTTTGCTCCCCACACCTCACCGTGTCTCACCGTCCAGGAGCGACACTGACTCACGCTGCTATCTGGTGTTCACGAGGTGTTTGTCGCGCTGGAAACGGAGCGTCTCTGTAAGTTTGTATCCCTGGTGATGTTTGTGCCTGGAGAGCACTATATAAGTGGTGCTCTTCAGGCACAATCTTCCTCAGCCTACTCAAGCTCAACTGATGAGGGGTGAATTCCCCGAAACACTGTGTATTGAGCAGGGAGTGGTGCTTTCTTGCAGGTTTGCCGAGTCTAAGGTTCGATGGACTTCTCGTGTGCTCTGGATGGCAGTCGTGAGTCAGTCAAGTGTCAAGTTAAGTCGGTGGAATAGCGCGAGCTCCGGTGTGGGGAGCAAACCCTTTCTTAATAATAATAATAATAATAATGTAAATAGGCGTCGAGGCGACAATAGTTTTAGAATTGCGATCAACAGAACGAGCTGAACCGACATTTTCACAAAGGCTTTTATTGTATTCAAAAAACGAGTGGATACGAAGGCAGTGAAGAACATGGAAGAAAGAAAAATGTGATATGGAAGAAATGATGAACAAAAAATTGTACTTCGAATTAGTTTTCGCACAACACTCCCCAGGAAGCTACGTTGTACTAATGAAAAACAATCCAGAAAGATACTAATAAAGAGAAATAGAGTGAGAAGAAACAACACCTATGAAAATGATAATCCTAGCACTAAGGTAATAACAGGAAAAACTGCGAAAGCACTTAACGAACTTGTAAGGACTACTAGTATACTGTGACACAAGATATGACACCATGGCCAACCAGAGCCAAACAGACAGAACAAGTTGCTACTAAAACAATTTCAAACGAATAATGCTGTCCTTCTGGACACACAGATTAGGCTTATGAATACGTTGACAAACGGCTTCTAACACACTCAACTGCAACTTATAACCATGACGAGCACGGCACAAAACAGAAAAAGAAGAATCAGAATAAACCTTACAGCAATCAGGACGAGATGCAAGATGCTTATACACTGATGACTTCCTACTAGAAAACACACGCTCGCACCCACTCTTACTCACACGATCATTCCCGCTCTCACACTCACCGGAATCACTGGCCGAATCCTCCTCAACGACTTCCTGCCTCGGAGCAATCAGGTCCCGTCTCCTCCCATCCCTCGTCTCACGTTCCTGTTGTGTATTCCGTTGGCTCGGTACTTCCGTACTGAAATAGGTCATGGTGTAATTAGCAGTTTTTCTTCTGGGTCTCATTGATATTGAGGTAGGTATTGTTGTCGTCTCTGCCGGTGATGCAGCAAGCGATGCTGATGCAAACGTGTCTGCATGCAACACACGCGGCCGTTTGTCAACGTATTCATAAGCCTAATCTTTGTGTCCAGAAGGACAGCATTATTCGTTTGAAATTGTTTTAGTAGCAACTTGTTCTGTCTGTTTGGCTCTGGTTGGCCATGGTGTCATATCTTGTGTCACAGTATACTAGTAGTCCTTACAAGTTCGTTAAGTGCTTTCGCAGTTTTTCCTGTCATTACCTTAGTGCTAGGATTATCATTTTCCTAGGTGTTGTTTCTTCTCACTCTATTTCTCTTTATTAGTATCTTTCTGGATTGTTTTTCATTAGTACAACGTAGCTTCCTGAGGAGTGTTGTGCGAAAACTAGTTCGAAGTACAATTTTTTGTTCATCATTTCTTCCATATCACATTTTTCTTTCTTCCATGTTCTTCACTGCCTTCGTATCCACTCGTTTTTTGAATACAATAAAAGCCTTTGTGAAAATGTCGGTTCAGCTCGTTCTGTTGATCGCAATTCTAAAATAATAATAATAATAATAATAATAAGATCGGCAATTATGGACGGCCCCGTATGTCTCATGCTAATTTTGAATATATCTCCCAAATTGCCAATATTCACTTGTATGGGGACGTCTTTCCGAGATGTGTGTTTCATACAATTAGCATGACTTTTCATTGCGAGCTCCTACGTAGGGAGCAACACACAATTCCCCAAGTATCGCCGAATATTACCTAACACCTAATAATACCGGTATATTCTACATTCGAAAATATTCCTTACCAATGCGTCTCCCTGGAATGGCGCGATATCCTGAGTCGCATGCACATACATAGCTCCCAATGGTGTTCTTACATGTGCTGAAAGGTCTGCACACTGGAATACTTCGGTTTGAGCCCAAGCATTCATTCAGATCTTGACAGATTCCTCCATCCCCTAGTCATCAACACCATAGCAATTGCAACATGGAAAGTACATGTACATGATCCTGAGACCGTACGACATTCATGATCACAATGCACGGATAAACAGGGAGATGTATAATGATTTTTAACGTCTGTTTACCCTGTGAATTTCATTTGCAGCATTGTAGTATAAAATAAGAAATACATGAGACTGAATCTATGTTCGTCAACTATAGGCATCATGATTACAGCACAGTACTGAGCAGTTTTCCGGCTATACTTGTTGAATTATATAGTTTTCAATTTCAAATTTGGACTACAAGGAGAATTTGAAAGTACATGTATTAGGAATATAGAGGCCACATGCCTCGCACTGCTCTTTTCTCTCCGAAATTCAACACTTGCAAGCCCGATACGAAAGAAAAAAATCCATCAGTTACACCACCGGGACTCGGACCAGGGACCTTGCTATTCGCGAGCAATGTTCTAACCAACTAAGCCATAGTATGACTCTTATCTTAGATTTGCCATCACTGTGGATAAAAGGCATGCTGACGGAGGAAATTCTAGCAGTGAGTTGAGTGAGGGAGAGAGTGTAGGTATGGGAGAGTGTGGGAGTGAGTGTGGGCATGTGTTTCGACCTCGTAAACCTGCTGTGTATAAACAAATGTGTATCTCGTTCTGAATGTTGCCAAGTGTATTCTGATTAAGTTAATGTTTCTCCGTTTTGTGTCGTGGATGTCATGGTTATCAGTTACAGGTCAAGTGTTGGAGGCTGCTTTCCAACGTATTCACAAGCCTGACCTTTTTGTTCAAAAGGAGAGTGTTGTCTTTTCTGAAATTGTTCAACCAGTAAAATGTTGTGTTTGTCTCGTCCAACCAGAAATTTGTCACTAGTGTTGTTTCATACTTGAATTTGGTCCCTTAGGAGTGTTTGATTGTTATCTTCCACGCACATGGTATCTTGCAAGAATAACTTGTGATACATTTATTGGCATTGTTTAGGTGGTATTTATCACTATTGGTCCTTTATAATAGTCTGTGTTGCAATTTGTTCATTAGCACAACGATGCTTCCTGATAGGCGTGCTGCGAAAGCTATTTCAATGCCTTTTTATATTAATTTTTTCATCGTTCCAAGTGTTGTTCTTCACATTACATTTCCATCATAAAATTATCTTTGTCCATCACTACTTTCTGCAGAATTTGTTCGTGACATCTTAATAGAACCTTCGTAGCATGACGCTTTAGCTGATTCTGTTTATTGCCATCTTAAAACTTGTGTCACCTCGCCGCCTGTTCTAATAATAATAATAATAATAATAATGAAAACAATCTATGCTCAGTATCCGACCTGTGTATCCCTCGACACAACGGCATACATGCATTCCTGAGGTAGCGACGCATCTTGCTTGACGGCCGCACAGTGAACATTCTGGAATAATGCTGCACATTGATCCATTCAGAGTGAATTCCTCTCCACAGTGACAGTAATGTCCCGCGCCTGTGATGTTGCAAACTGGGTGTCTACTGCAGGGGCTGTAGCGATCGTCAGGGTCACAAGTTGTACGGTCTGTGCACATGTGTCCATTGTAGACGCTTCCTCGAGGGCAGTGACAGAACGTCGAGTTGTGTTGAGACGAACATCTAGTGCTTGCTCCAGAGCAGTTCACAAGCGCTGAACAAGTATAGCAAAAATATTATGGGTGTAATAATTATGATTATGCAACTCGAACCCGGGACCTTGCTTGTCATGAGCAATGCTCTAACCACTAAGCTATGGGACGGGCTGAACCTAGAATGCGCTGACAAGTTTTCACTCCAATGGCAGCTCACAACACGTGCCACACATACTGATGGCACTTGGGTTTTTCTCCCTCCCCCAGGGGACCAACCGCGGTCAGTTTCTGGACCCTACCAGAAGTGATACATATTTGAAAAAATTGGGAGAACTTCAAATTCTTAGGATCAGCTGGGGAAGTGAACTGCCTGAAATGAGAAAAATCGCCAGACCCACCAGGACTCGAACCAGTGGTTAGAGCATTGCTCATGACAAGCAAGGTCCCGGGTTCCAGCCCTGGTGGGTCTGGCGATTTTTCTCTTTTCAGGCAATTCACTTCCCCAACTGATCCTTTGAATTTTAAGTTCTCCCAATACTGTCCAAATTTTATCACTCTCTTTCACTTCTGGTAGGGTCCAGAAACTGACCTTGGTTGGTCCCCTGGGGGAGGAAGAAAGACCCAAGTGCCATCAGTATGTGTGGCACGTGTTGTGAGCTGCCTTTGGAGTGAAAAACGTGTCAGCGCATTCTAGGTTCAGCCCGGTCCCATAGCTCAGTGGTTAGAGCATTGCTCATGACAAGCAAGGTCGCGGGTTCCAGTCCTGGTGGGTCTGGCCATTTTTCCTCTTTTCAGGCAGTTCACTTCCCCAATTGATCCTTTGAATTTGAAATTCTCCCAATCCTTTCAAAAATTATTGTTATTATTATTATTGTGGAAGAAAAAAGGACATAAAATTATGGATACGAGTTAAGAGTAACTCTCCATCACTGTAACATGATACTATAATATAGTATCATGTTACAGTGATGGATATTATACAGTCAGAAAGTGCAATAACTAGGCACAAAACTGACAGAGTACTGAAACATTCGACGTCCTGACACCTAGCTTCAACACATCTCCGTAGCGCTAACCGACAGCCTTCCAACTTGGAAGGTTCAAGGTTATGGAAAAGACCAAAGAGGGGAAGGCAAGCGCAACGAAAACGAGCAAAAGCTACAGTCCCAACGGAACAAAGAATGTCGATTGTTACTGGACGATGACGAGACCAGTACGATATTTGACGAAGCGGTCTAACTACAATTCGAAGCAGCAAAGCAGCACACTACCCAACTTGAACCATACGGCGAAACGTACGTCGTGTGAAACAACTTGTTTTGTAGTCAACTAGTCCATCACAATGTCATGCATGAGGAGTACTGTAGGAGTTTGGCTTTCGGCTTGTACAATTCGTTTTCGCAAAGCTTCCCTTTCTTTACTTATCTTGATATTTATGACCCACCCAAGTTGGGTGGTGTGCTGCTTTGCTGCTTCGAATAGTAGTTAGACCGCTTTGTCAAATATCTTCTGGTCTCGTCATCGTCCAGTAACAATCGACATTCTTTGTTCCGTTGGGACTGTAGCTTTTGCTCGTTTTCGTTGCGCTTGCCTTCCCCTCTTTGGTCTTTTCCATAACCTTGAACCTTCCAAGTTGGAAGGCTGTCGGTTAGCGCTGCGGAGATGTGTTGAAGCTAGGTGTCAGGACGTCGAATGTTTCAGTACTCTGTCAGTTTTGTGCCTAGTTATTGCACTTTCTGACTGTATATAGTATCATGTTACAGTGATGGAGAGTTACTCTTAACTCGTATCCATATGTCCTTTTCTCTTCCACATTTATTTATGGCTCAACATCCGAGTTTCAAATTATTATTATTATTATTATTATTAACTGGTTTTGAGGGAAAGAGACAAACGGGAAAAGTCTGATTATTATTATTTCTCCTTTATTCACTTCTTTCGAAGGCGATAAGCCAGACCCACAATGAAATACTTCCATGGGTGGGACAGCAAAAAGAAAGTGAAAAAACAAAAGCAAAAATAAAGAAATAAATAAAACCTAAAAACCAAAGGGACAAGAACTAGTTGAAGGAAGAGGAAGAAAGGAAAGAAACTCAATCCGAACTCCAACATCAAAACAATAATAAAGAATTTGCAGCGACAGGCAAAATACATCAACCAATGAAGGGAGTAGTAACAAAGGAAATATCAGTCTTTATCAGTCGTTATTCAAGTCTCTTAGCTATTGAACATGCAAACGCAGCAGAGGTGCATCTACATGTTAAGGATAGTTCTCAGTATTTTAATCGAACCTTGTATAGCCTCCTGTTGCACAATAGCCAGGTCTCCTCCCTGCACAGTCCGAAGGCATTGAGGAGTCTCCCCCACCAAGCCTCCCAGGGCACCGACAACCACAGGGACCACGTCAACCTGGTGGAGGGACCAAATCCTCGAAATCTCCCGCTTCAAATCATAATATTTCGAGCGCTTTTCAGCCATTTTCTTATTGATGTTGTTCTCACCAGGAACGCTGATGTCTATAATGTAGGCGATGTCATCAACAAGGAGCAGATCGGGCCTGTTTGCTGATAGTTTCAGGTCAGTTGGGACCGAATACTCCCAATAGAGGCGATACTGATCACTCTTGACCAATGCCTTGAGCTGGTGGTCGAATCGTGAAGCACCAGTAGGTAGATCTCGTGCTTTACACATTTCGAAGTGCACATACTTTACTATCCGGTTATGTCGTTCAATGTAACTGGTCCGAGCAAGAACTGGGCAGGCACTGACAATGTGGTCAATTGTTTCTAAGCTGCCCTTGCAAAGCCTGCAATTGGCATCAGTTCGAGCAATTGACTTCATTATGGCGTATTGGTAATTTTTCGTTTTGAGGGATTGGTCTTGTGCTGCCATAATCATGCCTTCAGTTGAAGGTTTCAGTGTCCTTGATTTCAACCACATGAAGGTAAGCTCCTTATCTAGGCGATTCTCCTCCAATCGGCTCCAATATCTCCCATGCAGCGGCATAGTGGAAAGTGTTTTGGATTTTCGCTCAGCGCACGCTTGTTTAATGGTATGCTTATTGGGTAAAGCTGGTCCAGCTGCTGGCAGATCCAAACTCGACAGGAACTTAGCGGCCTTTGCAGTTATTGAGTGGCTTTTTGTTGTAGGTTATTGTTGATGATACTGATAAAGCAGGCTTATTCTGTCTATTGGGCTGGTACTCATGTAGCGGGCCAGGCCACACATGCTCCGGCCGTGCATATCCTCACAAGAGACCAAGCCCCGGCCTCCATCTCCCCTCTTCATGTAGAGCCTGTTGACTGAGGCTTTGGGGTGGTGAAATCCAGACGCAGTCAAGGCTGATCTTGTCACTCGATCTGTGGTCTTGATTTCAGCCTCGGTCCAATTTACGATTCCATAACTATATGTCATAACCGGCAGAGCATACGTATTGATGGCCTTGATCATGTTTCGCGCATTCAGTCCACTGTTAAGAAGCAAATACAATCTCTTTTTGTATTCTGCAGTGAGTTGCGTCTTGAGCTGCGGGTGAGGTATCATGGCTGCTTGCACTACTCCAAGGTACTTGTATGTTTCATTGAGTCGTAGCGACTCTGCAATGGTCTCATCGCCAACCTGGATAGAGCATCCTTCATCTGGTTTTCCTCTCCTGACGTGCAGCACGGCACACTTGGCCGGGTTGAGATTCATGCCGATGTCATCACCAACGCCACACACGGTAGACACGAGGGTAGTCACATCCTTTGTAGTTTTCCCATAGAGTTTAATGTCGTCCATGTACCAAGAGTGATTGATAGACAACTCGGCGTCTCTGCAGCTGACTCTGTATCCCAAAGGCAATCGGTTGAGCTCAAAACTGATTGGGTTTAGCGCCAGGCAAAACAGTAACGGGGATAATGTGTCACCTTGAAATATGCCTCTTCTTATTGAAATGTTGCCGGTAGTGACCCTGCATCTTCCCTGCCCGCATATGTGCATTGTCGTTCTCCAGTTCTGCATGCTACGAGCAATAGTTGTGACCAAAGACGGGTGGAATCGATACATCGTCAAAGCATGTAGAATCCATTCATGCGACACACTATCAAATGCCTTTTTGAAGTCCAGGTATGCCATGACCAGATTTCGCCCTTTCGTATGGGCATCCTCCAGAATCATCTTATCCACCATCAGGTGCTCCTTGCAACCAAGACCAGCTGCTGCACAACCGCGCTGCTCCGTTGCAAGTATTTCATGTTGATTGATGTGCTGCCACATAATCTTCGATATGGCGGCGGTAAAGAGCTTGTACTGTATCGGAAGACACGTAATTGGTCTATAATCTTTGGGCATTGCCGAAGGTGGAGAAGTCTTAGGAAGGAGAGTAGTAGCGCCAGACGTCAACCATCCCGGAATGTCACTGTGGCCATCTATCACCCTCTGGAAGGCTCTCCGAAGGTAAGAGTGCAGGCTTGTCAGCCTCTTCCACCAGTACCCATGCAACTTGTCATGGCCCGGAGCCCTCCACAAGGCTAGTTTGCGCAGGCAGTCAGCCAGGATGTCCTGGGTGATAACTGCGCTACTCTGCACAGGGACGTGTTCTTCATAATATTCTGCTTGCCTTACATACCACTCGCCAGCGGTGAACGGCGCAGGTGTAGACAGAAGATCACTCCAGAATTCGGTGGCTTCACTCGCCTCTGGAAATTGCGGCGTCTCCAATCGATTTGAAGCACCACTAACAGAGTGTGCAGGCTCCCGAAGCGTCCGGTAGAAAGCACGCTCATTCATTTGGAACATTTTGTTGGCTTTTTTGGCCTTTTCATTTTCTCGGTATCGACGCATCCTGGCTGCTAGCGCAAGAAGTCGATCTTTCTTTCCCTGTAGCTTCATTTCCAACTCGTCTGTGTTTCCGACTTCAACTTCATATCTCCTCCAGAAGTCATGATGTTTCTCCGATGGATATCGTAGCATGCTGGTGAGTCGGGAAACATCCGAGCGGAGTTGATCGATTTCCCTTGTCAATCGGATCTGCCACTGCGGCGGATGGTCCTTGTCACTTCCGTTTTGCTTGGCATTG